TTTAAATTATTTAAATTATTTAATAGGGGTCAATTAAATAAATTAAATAATTTAAATAATTTTGCTTATTTAAATTATTTAAATTATTTATTTAAATTATTTAAATTATTTAAATTATTTAATAGGGGTCAATTAAATGAAGTAAATAATTTAAAGAATTTTGCTTATTTAAATTATGTAAATTATTTAAATTATTTAATGGGAGGCAATTAAGTAAATTAAATAATTTAAATAATTTTGCTTATTTAAATTATTTTAATTATTTAAATTATTTAATGGGAGGCAATTAAATAAATTAGAAAATTTAAAAATTTTGCGTATTTAAATTATTTTATTTATTTAAATTATTTAATGGGAGTCAATTAAATAATTTAAATAATTTAAATCATTTAAATAATTTTTGCTTATTTAAATTATTTTACTTATTTAAATTATTTAATAGGGATCAATTAAATAATTTAAATAATTTAAATAAATTAAATAATTTAAATACATTTAATTCAGGAAACTTTCCAGACCAGCCAGAAAAAAAACAATTAAATAATTTAAATCCCGCAGTTTAATTAAATTATTTAATTGAGCTGTCGGATTTAAATTATATAATTGTTTTGCTGGTTGGCCTGGAAAGTTCCCGGAATTAAATTTATTTAAATTATTTAAATTATTTAAATTATTTAAATTATTTAAATTATTTAATAGGGGTCAATTAAATAAATTAAATAATTTAAATAATTTTGCTTATTTAAATTGTTTAAATTATTTAAATTATTTAATGGGAGGCAATTAAATAAATTAAATAATTTAAATAATTTTGCTTATTTAAATTATTTTAATTATTTAAATTATTTAATGGGAGCCAATTAAATAATTTAAATAATTTAAATAATTTTTGCTTATTTAAATTATTTTAATTATTTAAATTATTTACTAGGGGTCAATTAAATAATTTAAATAATTTAAATAAATTAAATAATTTGAATAAATTTAATTCAGGAAACTTTCCAGACCAGCCAGAAAAAAAATCAATAAAATAATTTAAATCCCGCAGTTTAATTAAATCATTTAATTGAGCTGTCGGATTTAAATTATTTAATTGTTTTGCTGGTTGGTCTGGAAAGTTCCCGGAATTTAAATTTATTTAAATTATTTAAATTATTTAAATTATTTAAATTATTTAATAGAGGTCAATTAAATAAATTAAATAATTTAAATAATTTTGCTTATTTAAATTATTTTAATTATTTAAATTATTTAATGGGAGTCAATTAAATAATTTAAATAATTTTTGCTTATTTAAATTATTTTAATTATTTAAATTATTTAATAGGGGTCAGTTAAATAATTTAAATAATTTAAATAAATTAAATAATTTAAATAAATTTAATTCAGGAAACTTTCCAGACCAGCCAGAAATTATTTAAATTATTTAATTTCTTTAATCGGGGTCAATTAAATAAATTAAATAATTTAATTAATTTTGCTTATTTAAATTATTTAAATTATTTAAATTATTTAATCGGGGTCAATTAAATAAATTAAATAATTTAAATAATTTTGCTTATTTAAATTATTTTAGTTATTTAAATTATTTAATGGGAGGCAATTAAATAAATGAAATAATTTAAATAATTTTGCTTATATAAATTATTTAAATTTTTTAAATTATTTAATGGGAGTCAATTAAATAATTTAAATAATTTAATTTAATTTCACTTATTACAACAAAGGAAGGAGCTAAATAGACCCGAAAGGTTGCTCTCTCATATATATATACACACATATATATATATATAAACACTCACCAAAAAGCCCAAGACCCAAAACCCCCGAAAAAAACCAAACACACAAGACACGAAACCCCAAAGTCACAATCCCCCAAGAATAGCCCCCCCCCCCTCCCTGCCAACAAAAACCAAGCCCAAAACCCTGAACCCTAGACCCTAAACCCTAAATACCCTGAACCCTGAACCCTGAACCCTGAACCCTGAACCCTAAACCCTAAACCCTAAACCCCTCTCCAAGCCCTGACCTCCGGCGCCGGCTGCGCCGTGAACTCCGAGGCGAAGTTCGCCGCGCAGTCGCGCTGCACAGTGGGTTTCAGGGCTCCAGGGACTTAGGGTTTAGGGTTTAGGGTTTGGGGTTTAGGGTTTGGGGTTTAGGGATTGGAGGCTGGAAGATTGGAGGGCATGAGGGAATGAGGGTTTAGGGGCATGCCTGGGGCTTCTCGCTCTGATTTTTGGTTTAGGACAAGAAAGAGGGTTTAGGGTTTAGGGTTTAGGGTTTAGGTTTTAGGGTTTAGGGTCTAGGGCCAAGAAAGGGGCTAAGGCTTTAGGAAGGTGGCTGGCCGTGCGTCGTGTTTTACCAGGGGCGTTTGCTTGTTCCACGGCTGAGGGAAACAAAAGGACGAGGACTCTACAAGCCCTAAACCCTGAACCCAAAAGCCTTAACCCCAACCCCTCGCGACCCAAAGCCCCAGACCTTCTCAAGTCAAAGGACGATGAAAGACGGTCCGGACCGGGGGGAGGGGTTTGGGCTCAGGGTTTAGGGTTCAGGCTTTCATAGGGTTCAGGTTTTAGGATCAGGCGGGGAGCGGGGGCTTGCTGTGGGCTCTTTGGGCTCAAAGACTGGACCCTCCATATTTGACTCCCGGAGCACCCCAGGGCTTTCTCGGCTCTTGCGGTCATCAAAAGCCACCACAGTGCGCGTGGACAAAAAAGCATGCAGGCTGTCAGCAGACAGAAGTGAACTCACCTCTGCAGACTGGTGACATATGTATGTATATATATACATATATACATATAAATATATACATATATACATATAGAGATATACATATAATTTAGGTACAGGCCTATACCTGCACTTGTACCTATACATGTACAATTTACATGTACGTGACTGGGTATGGCTATCTTGGAGCTTGCGGCTAATTCGGGGCCCACAGCCCAAATTCCTGAAACATGCGCAAAGATGCGAACCAACCCTAAACCCTAAACCCCAAACCCAATACCCTAAACCCTGACCCTAAGCCTAAACCCTAAAGCCGAAACCCTACACCCAAAGCCCCAGCAAAAATCCGCCCGGACCTGCGGCTTCACCGGCGGATAGTTCGGAAAGCAAGCTTGCGGCCTTGGCGGCCGGATTAGGGTTCCAGGGAAGGCTTAGGGTTTAGGGTCTAGGGTTTAGGGTTTAGGGTTAGGGTTTAGGGTTTAGGTTTTTAGGGTTTAGGGTCTAGGGTCTAGGGTCTAGGGTCTAGGGTCTAGGGTCTAGGGTTTAGGGTTTAGGTGTTAGGGTTTAGGGTTTAGGGTTTAGGGTAAAACCCCTATTACCCGAAGGGAAAAATCCCTCACGGCTCCTAGGCTGTATTAAGGACTGTTAGTATAAGGTGGCAGATCCCAACCTATACCCTAAGAAAAGGGTAAAGGAAGGTATCTTCCTGTCGTACTTTAGGCGGGCCCGGGTTCAGTTTAGGGTTTAGGGGGGAAACTCCTAGAATGGGGTCTTGGGGGCTCTGGGAAGGAGCTTTTTGGGATGTCTTGGCTCAAGCCTCACGCTCCATTGGGTGCCACCCTCTGTCTGGGAGGGTTTAGGGTTTGGGGTTTGGGGTTTAGGGTTTAGGGTTTAGGGTTTAGGGTTTTGCCACGAATCGCCATTATCATTAGAGGTTAGGGTTTAGGGCCAAAGTTTAGGGCTCTAGGGCTGAACACCTAGTGAATCTCAACTTCGGAGCGTTTGGGGTTTGGGGTCTAAACCCTCTAAGCCCCCGAACCTGAAGCTCTAAAGCCCTTTGTGTGCCGACCGCAGGCTCATAGCCCCTCCATCACAACAAACAACAACCAGAGCTCCCAATCCCAACCACCACACTACAGGCCAAGGCGCTCTCGGCGGTAGACCTTGTTCCAGTCCACCTGTCCGCTTTTCGCATGGGTGCCCCGGAACCCCGAATGTAGACTCCAGAACCATCAGATGGCTACTAGGAGGGCCAAGACATGCTTAAACCCTAAACCCTGACCCTAACCCCTGAACTCCTAACCCTTTCGGATCGAATCGACAGGAGACCCCCATCACCCAGAAGCGGGCGGGGGCCTAGGGTTTCGGGGGTTTGCGTTTGGGGCTTAGGGTCACACTGCGACACCTGCAGATGTAGAACCTCAGGGCTCTCCTCCAAGGGTTCAGGGCCTGTTAGGCTTGGGGTGCAGATTTGGGGTTCGGGAGTCGGTGGCTGAGGGGTGAGGGCCACACAAGGCACACCCAAACTGCCCCACTTCCCATCACTTCTCATGGGGCAAGAATGCCATGACGTCCCAGAACATCCTTGCAATCGCATGCAGCTCGCATTGCATGGCACGAGAGGAGGCCCTTTTTCCGCGGGCGACTGGCGACTCTCTCAGACCGGCGTGCCCTGCGCGAAGGATCTGGGCCAGCGAGTTTCTGTAGCATCTAGCTTCAGCCCTAAACCCCTAAGACCCCCTTTTGCGACACGGGAAACTTCATCAGCTGGGGCTTTGCAGACTTCCTGGCGCTGGGGGCACTTTGTTGGAGGCCTGCCGACTTTTGGGAGCCTCTCTCTGTGGGGGGCTTTCCTTCTTCGGGTTTAGGGTTTAGGGTTTAGGGGTTAAGGCTTGAGGGTTCAGGTCAGGAAAAAGTTTGTTAGGCAATCTTTGCCTTCTTCGTATGCATGTGTTGATTGTGACTACTATGAATTTAGGGTCTAGAGCCTAGGGCTAGATATTTGTAGTTTAAGATTCCTGGCGCCTGTAAGTCTTCTTGCAGGCCTCAGCTGGAAAAATGGGCACCACGAAGCATTGGCCAGAGTGATGGCCTCCCCATTTCGGGTTCACTGAGGCCTTAAGTCCTTACTCGCCGCGCTGCGCAGAAACATTGCTAACTGTGAGTTCTCACACTCTAAGAAGTTTTATCGCACCTTTAAATACACAATAATGCCTACTCTGACCCTCAACCATTTGAAAAGCCTGAGAATGCACAATCCTGCCGCTGAGTCATGGCGAAACGAGCTGGTCAACAAAGCCAACGGAGATGACACCGACGATGAGCACTACCTGAGACAGGGAGTGCAGGCGCCCTCAAGACCCAAAGAAGAGAGAAAACCTAATACAGGGGCCTTAAGAATCAGAATAGGTCTTTTTTTGGGGGGGGGGGGATCATTATCGTATAATGATACAGGGACCATGAGGGAATAGTGTTAGTCATTATTCCGAGCCCTATAGTAGACACAGGCCGGGCTGCTCCCAAGCCGACCTTCGGAAAGTCTGCGAAGGTGTAGCAGCCAGAGGAGAACACCTCGAATGCTTCTTTGGGCTGAGGGAGGGTCAAGCAAGGTTGTAAACATTTCCACATTCGAAGCCCAACACCTGTATAGAAGGTGTGGGGGTTGGGAATCTCCGAGTCGTCTTGGCTGGTCCTTAACATCTTGGTGGCTTGACGGTATGCCAAAAAACCTCAAGACCAGTCCCGAACATGACCCCGAAGAGCTGTGGCAAGGGCTCGGCTGTCTGAGCCATTCTTAGAAGGTGATCACAACTGAAGGGGGAGCACTCCATGAGGGCTTTTAGGACTTAAGTTTTTCTGGCTTTGGGGTTTCTTATGGTTTTGGTTGGAGTCCTCTTTGAATTGTGGGGACGAAACTTGCTGGCTTTCCTTCCGGCCTTGACCGGGACAAAATTCTCCTGGTTTAGGGTTTAGGGTCTAGGGTCTAGGGTTTAGGGTTAAAAATTTGATGCTAGATTTCGGATCCCCCCCCGCCCCCCTATGGCAAACTGCAGCTGAAAGGCCATGATGTTCGTCTGGTACGAGACCGGTGATAACACCTGTGTGGCTTAGGGCTTAGGGCTTAGGGCTTAGGGGCTTAGTGAGGGTGCAGCAAGTTGGTGGAGGAGCCTGTAGCAGCTAAGTGGGTGTAGGGTTCAGGTTCCGGACCTTACACGCAGCACTGGCGCACTAACAAATGGCAACTTGAACTTAGCAGAAGCCGAACCCCCCCCAAAAAAAAAACAAAAAACAAAAATCCACAAAAAACATTGACTTCCATCAGCGAATGGTTGGCACCGTCTTGAGGAGTTCTACTTTGTCCGGGGCCTGGCAGGCAGCACCCATCATCAAGACGGCCATGGCCTGCAAGAGACTTGTCTCAGGGATTCAGGGGTTAAGGGGGTTTAGGGTTTAGGGTTTAGGGCTTAGGTAGGGTTCAGGGTTGCCAGGGGGAGGCTTTCAGGAAGCCTAGGCGGCAAAAGGTGCTCTTTGTTTGCTTGGCTGGGGCATGGAAATGATACGAACCCCCCCCCCCACCAAGGGAAAGCACGGTACTACCGGGCGCCCTATGTTTGGCATGTTTTTTCTGCTTCTCATTGCACAAGTGCCCTCAATTCAAGAGGATGGAAGGCCTCGACTTCCTTCCTCGCAACAGACTCCTCTGCACTATAACGGGTGTGATTGGGCACTCACAGTTGGGTCAACGGTTCTAAGTTACTAGTACCAAGACCCATTGTAACTAAGTTGGGCTTTCAGGTCCAACTCTGGACTTGTGCTTCTTAGATCCCTGGCATGCCCCAGAATCCCGACTGATCCCTGGCCCTGGCCTGGTGCAAGGGCACGGGCACCTCCAAAGAGGCTCGCAGGTTGAAACGCAGCAAAACCCCTCTATAAGGAACCTCAAATCCCTCAACCCTAGCGCTACTGTTCGGAACCCCCCCTCCCCCCATTCGGGTTTTGGGGTTACGGGAGAAAAGGGAAACTCTTGGGCTGCTGGCCTTGGGGTTTGTGAAAGGCTTGGGGGTAGTAACGGGCTTGGGCGCGTGTTTGCTTCATTAGCTACTGTACTTGTGCATTTCAGTACTTCTTTTTCGCAACTATGTTATGCAATGTTGCATGTGTCGCGGTTTGCTTAACTTTGACAATGGCGTCTCCTGCTCACTATGTTTATAGCGTATGATGTTACGCTACTACGGTAAACTGCAGCATTCACAAGCGCTACCTTCTTCGTTCAGGGCTGCCGGCTGGTTGTAAGGTCTTCGGAGTTCTGAAGAGAAAGAACTTGGACGAATTTGGACTACACTAGCGGTCCAGTCCCGCAGTTACCCAGGGGAAAAAAATGGCTCTGCTTGCTTTCCTGGGGCTCTATCGGTGAACCTGACTCCTAGCCTAGGGTGTGAACACACTAAAACCTGAGAACCCTATACCGCCAACTCCCTCACCCCTCAACCTTAAAACCCCAGAAGCCTAAACCCCTCAACCCTTAACACCCCCAATCCCCTCGACCTTGGACCTTAAACACCTCAGCCCTCACCCCCTCAACCCCAAAGCCTCAAACCCTAGACCTCCCATTCCGAAACCCCTCTCGATCCTGACCATTAAGCCCGACCCCTAAAAACCCTAAACCCCTCGCCCCTCGACCTCCAACCCTAAACGCTACAGACCCTAAACCTTAAACCCTAAACCCTAGACCCAAAGGACCAGCCGGTTGGGGGATTCGCGCCTTGGGACTCTCGCTGATGGCCACCACAATGGGGAAGAGCAAGCTCACGACCTCTGGGTTTTTTGAGTTTTTGTCTCGGGGTCTTCCGAGCTTGGGGGTATTAAACCCTAAACCCTACACCTCTCATCCCCTAAGCCTTTGAACCCTAAGCCCTAAACCTATAAACCCTAAACCCTAACTTCGGATGTTGGCCGGGCCGTTCAGGACCACAGTGGCACACGCACTTGAAGGTTCATGGTGACCTGCAAGTAGGGCCAGGTAGGGTTTAGGGTCTAGTGTTTTGAGTTTAGGACTTAGGAAGTAGGGTAGCGCCACTCTCAACCCGAATCAGATGCTGTTCGTATTGGGAGTTCGTATTGGGAAGTTCGTCCAAATGCAGTCAAGTCTCGGCGGTGGCATGGAAGACGATACCCAGACCAACAGTAGCAAGAAAGATCCCAGTGAAGATGCCGCGAATCCCGAACGGGGCCAGCAGTGTGCCTCGCCCGCGTCATGCTACGGCCACTACAACGTACACCTATATAATTAGTTCCGTGTAAGGTTTTGAAGTAAGGACGGTTGGTGCGCTTGAACACGCCCAGCTCTGCCACAACGATAGTCTCCACGTGCCAAGGCACAACCACATGGGCTGGGTGTTGCAGAGGGACGAGGTGCGGCTGACCCTAAACCTAGAAACCTGCACCCTACAAACCCAATAACCCTACAAACCCTATAAACACTAGACTAAACCCCATAAACCCTGTAAACCCCATAAACCCTGCAAACCCTACAGCCCTGTAAACCCTATAAACCCCTAAACCCTATAAACCCTTTCAACCCAAAACCTTAAACCTTAAACCTTACAAACCCTATAAACCGTATGCCTGAAACCCTAAGTTGGTACCTGGTTTCAGGCGGGCTTGTTTGGGCTTCAGAAGTCTGGACCGGAAGATGTGCCCGGAGCAGCAGGCCTTTCCGCCCATTGCAGGGGTTTAAGGGCTGTTTCAGGCTCGGGTTGGCTCAGGGTTGAGGTTTGAGGGTTTTAGGGTTGAGGGTTTGAAAGGGGGGGGGGGAGGGGGGGGGCCTATGGTGGGCAAAAAAAGAAGGCTTCTTCTATGTTAGGTCAAGCTACAGATCATGTGGGCGAGAACGGCGGCCAGGTTGGTCTTGTTGACTGCCTGTGGGCGGTCCGAGTCCTATGGGAACTTCGTCCACAATATGCCGAACCTTACCATTCATGGAACTGGGCATCTGGGGGCTAGGCCTTGCGATAGTGAGTTGTGTTCGGGCCGGGCTTTGCTTCTGACCTCCTTGTTCCAGGCCCCCTAAACTCGGAAGCTCTCAACGCCCCAAAATTGCTGGACGATAGAAGCGCTTCGGCTAGCGGATTCGGGGACTGGACTACCCTCCGAGCCTTGAACGCAACAGGAGGCTGCTTATTTGTATTTAGGTAAGTGTTGATCAGTTGATTTCGTCTTTTGTAGGGGTTAACGGCTGCTTAGAGTATTTGGGGGGCAGTGTTTTTTAGGGGGGGGCTCGACAAATGATATCCCGAAGAATGTCATGCATGCTACGTCGAGATTTTGGGCTTTCGGGAACGCCATCATGGGGAGCTGAGGACCAGATCTTCCGGGCCAGGCCTTTGCTATACCGAAAGCGCCCACGATCGTTAGCACGATCCGGAGGTTGATCGCCTAGGAAGAGTTGAGGCAGGGCATATTTCTAGAATCAAGCATTGCTTCCAGTCAGAGATCCCAAACTTTCGCTGCAGAGACGGTGCGCGCATCCGTGTCTCATGGGTTTGGGTAAAGTGGCTTCCTGCTTCCGGGGCCATGGGACACGGACCTCGCCCGGTAGATCCTCCACGAGCATGGCTTCGCATTGGAGTCTATGATTTCCCATGCAGGAATATTCGAAGGGGACCAAAATGTGGCGGGATTTACTGACGACGCGCTCTCCGAGCCCCATCCTCGCCTCCCCAGAGCACCGCAAAAAACATCGGCAAACCACCAGCCCTGCAACAAAAAACTCACAGCCGACAGCAAGGAATCCATCTGGGCCATTCTTCCAGGTGGCACTGAAGGCCTTCTGCTGTGGGAGGCATCCGGTCACAACCTGCCACCAGGACGCATGCAATAACACACGTTCCTGCAAGCCCTTCCTGGCCCTAGAGAAACCCACAACCCTGCAACCTCAACGCTTCGCCTCAATCCTTGCTTACGCTTGGGCTCAGGTCTGCGCCGGGCGTTTATTGATGTCTAGATGCCTGTGCTGGGGCACAGATTGTGGGGGCTTCTGCCCTACCCTAAACCCCTATACGCTCGAATTTGGCCCGGCCATGAGGAAGGAGGTAAGCAGAGCAGCTTCCAGCAGAGGCATCCTGGGGATGGGTCTGGTGGTTTAGAGTTTTGGGCTTAAGGCTCAGGGCTCAGGGCTTAGGGTTAGTTGCCGGGGCTGGGGGGGTGTTTTATGTCGTGGAACTGTTTGGGCGTTAGGCTTTCTGAAGGCCCCACTGCCTTCAACCCCAAAACCTTACTTGAGTTTCAGGCTGTCATAGGGATTTATCGAGGCTGTGGGCTTACTGGTGCTAAAGAGAAATGACCTCAACCTTAAAAAATAAACCTTAAACTCTCAACCCTAAACCCTGGCAAGGGAAGTCGGTAAAGTAGATCCGGAACTTCGGGAAAAGGATTGGCCATGAAAAGCATTGCGATGGCCTCAGAAGGTTTTCGCGCAATGTGATTTCTGCCCAGCGCTCTAAATGTCGAAGTGGTGAAATTCAAACAAGCGCGGGTAAACGGCCGGAGTAACTACGACTCTCTTAAGGTAGCCAAATGTCTCGTCACCTAAGTAGTGACGCGCATGAAAGGATTAATGAGATTCCCACTGTCCTACCCGCTATCTAGCGAAACCACAGCCAAGGGAACAGGCTTGGGATAATCAGCGGGGAAAGAAGACCCTGCTGAGCTTGACACTTGACCGACTTTGTGACATGACTTAGGAGGTGTAGCAGAAGTGGGAGCTCCGGTGATCTGGAAATACCACTACTCTTAATGTCATTTTTCCTATTCCGTGAGACTGAAACTTGCATCATGTGATTTGTTGCTTCAACGTTGCCTCTTTTGGCAGCTGATCTGTGCGGCAGACATGATCAGGTGGGGAGCTTGGCTGGGGCGGCACATCTGTTCAATCATAACGACGGTGTCCTAAGGTAAGCTCAATGAGAACAGATATCTCATGTGGACCAAAAGGGGAAGCTTGCTTGATGTTGATTTTCAGTACGAAAGCACTGTGAAAACATGGCCGATCGATCCTTTAGATCTGAGAAATGTTCAGCTAGAGGTGTCAAAAAATCACCACACGGATAACTGGCTTGTGGCAGCCAAGCGTTCACAGCGACGTTGATTTTTGAATTTTTGATCCTTCGATGTCGGCTCCTACTATCATTGAGACGCAGAAGTCCCAAAGTGTCGGATTGTCCACCCGCCAATGGAATGTGATCTTTACCCTACTGATGAACTAGATGCTGCGACTGTAATCGAAGTCAGTACGAGAGGAACACTTCGTTCAGATACTTGGTTAATGTGGCTAGCTGAAAAGCTAATTCCGCGAAGCTGTCATCTTTTGGATTACGACTGAACGCCTCTAAGTCGGAATCCATGCTGGCTACGCAGTGTTGCTCACCGCTCTCATTGCAACATAAGCTTTGGCTCTAACGCATTTCAGCTCCTTCGCCGATAAAGGCAATGGGGTAGTAATTACATGCAGTGGGAATCCCAAAACCCCAAAACCCCAAAACCCCAAAACCCGAAAACCCGAAAACCCGAAAACCCCCAAAACCCCGAAAACCCCAAAAACCCCAAAACCCCAAAACCCCAAAAACCCCAAAACCCCAAAACCCCAAAACCCCAAAACCCCAAAACCCTAAAACCCTGAGGTACCCCAAAACCCCAAAACCCTGAGGTGCTCCAGGGCTGCCTTCAGCAGGAGAAACTTAACACTAGGGCTAGGGCTTTAGGGGCTTTAGGGGCTTTAGGGGCTTTAGGGGCTTTCGGGGCTTTAGGGGCTTTCGGGGCTTTCGGGGCTAGGACCTAGGGTGTTAGGGTTTTAGTAGTTTAGGGTTTTAGGGTTTTCGGGTTTTAGGGTTTTAGGGCTCTAGGGCTCTAGGGTTTTAGGGCTTTAGGGTCTTGAGGCGTTGGGGTTTTTAGGGTGTTGGGGTTGTAGGGTGTAGGTTGCGGTTTCAGGGTTTGGGATGCTCGCTTCCCTCATCGATCTGGGGTCTTGTTGTGAGATCATGTACTATCCTAAACCCTAAACCCTAAACCCTTACTATCCCCACCCGAGCCCCCCTTAACCCAAATAACCCCAACAACCCCCCTTAACCCAAATGACCCCAATCAGCCCAATCCTAAACACCCCACATCCGAAAGGCCCCTTAGCCCTGTACCCCCGGGATCCGAAGTGGACCTGAACCCCTAAACATTCCAAGAAGCGCTAAACCCCTGAGCCCTAAACCCTGCCATCGCTTAAGTTCATGGAGAGCTGCGAGTTCGAGGCCACGAGGATGATCATGCCGACCTGATCTGCGCGGTTTTTAAACACAGCTAGGGTTTATAGGGTTTAAAGGGTTTAGAGGGTGCAGAGGGCTTGAGAGTGTTTGAGAGGGCTTAAAGAGGGCAAGGAGGGCTGATTTTGAAAGTGGGTTCTTTGTGAGAATGCTTTTGCCAAAACATACGTTTTGGAGGGTTTAGAGGGCTTGAGAAGGCTTTGGAGAGGGCTTGAGAGGGCTTGAGAGGGTTTGAGAAGAAGGCTTTGGGAGGCTTTGAGAGTGTTTGAGAGGGCTGTGAGAGGCTTTGAGAGGACTAAGGGCCTCTCAAGACCTTCAAGCGCCCTGAGCCGGACCGCAGCCAAGTGGCCAGCAGCAGGCCGCTAATGATCATGTCCCTCTTCCTCAGCTCAGGGTTTAGGGGTTTAGCGGCTTAGGGGTTTTAGGGGGCTTGGGGGTTTAGGGGGTTTAGGGGTTTAGGGTTTTGGGATTAGGCGTTTAGGGCTTAGGAGTTCAGGGCTCATCAAAAGGGTCGTGACATTTATGCGCCCTGTAATCGTGTATGCGAAATAAGGTTCACCGCAAACCAGAATGAAGATGAGTACTTAAACAGAAGGCAGTCAAGTCAAGAGTGAACTGAGCTCAAGAAGTGAAGAGAGCGAAATGAAGCAATGACGTGAAGCGTTGCATTGGTGAAGCTGTCATAACACAAGGTTCTGCAACATGTACGAAGCTTCGTCCAAAAACCCCAAACGCAAAACCCTCACACTTAAACCCTGAGCCCCAGATCTGAGACTCTATATATGAGCCCGATGTGACTTGGGTTGCGCTGAGGCTTCCAGGGTGCAGGGATTAAGGTTTAGGGTTGTTTCGTAATTTGCGGTGTAGGGATGGCGCGCGCCCGCCCCTAAAAACTTAAAACGCTAACCTCTGGTAAACTCTAACCCTAACCACCACAAACCACCAAAAAGCCCGCAACCCTAAACCCTAGGTCCTGGGTCTTGGCCCTTCATAAGGAATTCCACGAACCCTGCTGGGAGGTTGGGCATTCTAGGCAGAACAAAAATATGGTAACTATAGTTACAACATTATTTCGGGTCTGCTTAGAAGTACCCATGACCCTCCACACCTTAACCCCAAACCCTAGCCCCCTAGTTCAGGAAATCCCCAAGGCCGTGAACCCAAAACCCTGGTTTAGGAAATAACTTGAGTGCTTATCACCCTCAACCCAAACCCCTAGTTCAGTAAATCCAAACTTAGGGTACATATAAGTAAGAATCCATATGAACCTGCAAGTCAACAGTTCGGGCGAGTGGCTTCTGTGAGCTGGTCGCGCCATCCTGGTCGTCCTTCGGTCGGAGGATTAGGGCTTACATGGGCTTGTGGTCCCCTAAAAATGCAAAAAAAACCCTGCAAACAGCAGAAAACCCTAAATCCTTGAAGGGTTGGGGTTTGGGGTGGAAACAATCTGGCTCGCTCGACATTGCATTTTAAGCGTTTTCGGGTCTTTTTGGAGTTTGGGGCGACAAGACACTGCTCACATCACTGGGCCGACTTGAGGAGACAGTGCGCGAGGAATCTCTGACTCTGGTGGCCACGTCTCTTCTAAGTTAAAAGGCTCAAACTATGATAGGTTCCCCACAATGGTTCCTGTGCGATAAAGATTAGATACTTTGGGCGGGGGTATGTAGGGGGTTCCTTATTTTGTTGGCAACATGCGACCTAAGAAGGAAGGTCTCACCGAGGTATTTCAAGCTGAGGCTCGGCCTGAAAGCTGAAACCTAAAGCCTCAAAGCCTAAAAACTAAACCCCCAAACCCTAAACCCTAAACCCTAAACCCACAAACCCTACACCCTAAACCCTAAACCCTAAACCCACAAACCCTACACCCTAAACCCTGAACGCTGCTAGGGATTCTGCCCTTCCCCAGCCCCGTTCCCACGACGCGCGTCTCCTCGTCGTCACTGAGCTTCCGCACAAGGCTGAAGTGCGCCGAGCTTTCCTTGGAACCGTAACATGAGTGTCCAATATGGGGTTTACGATATTCGGGTTATACCTTATATAAGGGGATCCTACTCTTTTGGGGGGTCTATATTGGGGGTCCCATATTGCAGCAACCCCCCCCCCCCCCCATATTTCCCGGGGTTTCGTGTAAACAAAAGAAAACATGGTTCTAATCGAGGCCCATAAGAAAGGCTGCATCTCCTGCATCTAAACTCCCTAACCCTGCAATCCCCAAGCAATGTTCCCTGAACCCTAACGCTACATGATGTGGTGGAGGGCTGCTCTAAAGAAGGGTCTCCTTCTAGGTGCATCTTGCCTTCTGGGCGCATTGGGATCTGTTACAAACAGGTCCCCCCCCCCCGGATGTTTTGTTCTTCGGTTGCTTCATTATTCTTATGCTTCTTCGTATTCTTCTTCTCAGGGCTGAATCTTTCGGGTATTCCTATGTGTACTGTTGTTGGGTCATTTGCAAGGGCACCTTGTGTTGCTCTGGGTAGAGCTTTGGGGACAAAGGACTCCTGCTAAGATCTAGATCCTAGTCCACGAGTCAATGCCGGGCCAGCGGCATAGTCGGCTGTGAAGTGGCGAGGCACATCCAGGATTAGGTTGTCCCCAATGCGGAACCTCCAGCAGGATTTTTCATCTAGGTCACGCGGCTGCTGCCTGCTACATTAAAATGGTAAACCCTGCACCCGTGGTTAGACACCCGCAACTGCAACACCCCAACGCCCAAAAAACCCGAAGCCCGAAAACCTAAACCCCAGTAAAGACTTATTCTGAAGGATGCGGCGCTTCGTGCCTGTAGGCTCCGTCGTCATTGGCATGCGGGTTCCGCAGCAGGGACACGAAGGTCCGCACCTGCGCTCGAAGCTTCTGATGGCTCCCACGACTATGTGTGTGTGTGTGTGTGTTGCCTTCCTAAGCTAAGGGTGGGCTCAGCCTTTCGAGTGTAGCTTGGACCCTCAACCCCCAAACCCTACTACGATTTGCTTAAGAACCCCCACAAAGAACAAAACATATTTCTCTTCTAAGATTCATACATGGACTATTAAACCCTAAACCCTAAACCCTAAACCCTAAACCCTAAACCCTAAACCCTAAACCCTAAACCCTAAATCGCAAAGAGTAGTGAAGTGAACCCAAGAGGCCTCAGCTGCCTGAGCCTGCGGCGACGAGAAGTGCCTCAGGAATTCAGGCTCAGGGGGGTGTTGCGGGGCTTTGGGGCGTTTAGGGTTTAGGGTTTAGGGTTCGGGGTTTGGGGTTTGGGGTTTGGGGTTTAGGGTTTAGGGTTTGGGGTTTGGGGTTTGGGGTTTGGGGTTTAGGGTTCAGTGAGTGGAGTTTGGGGTTTGGGGTCAAGCCTAGCAAGACAAAAGGGCTCCTGTTCTTAGCGCTGGGTAGTTGTAGCAGGAACCTGGTGCCCCCTTTGGGGGGTTGTGTGCAAGCAACTACCTTACAAAAACCTGTTTTTTGGCATGCACTTCTCGGGTGCTTCGACTCTGCAAGCCATATATTCCCAGAAACTTCCAACACCCACTTGAGTTGGGAAATGTCCCACAAAACGATGAGGAGCCATGCGTGTAGTTTACGGTATCTCCCTTCTGGAAGGGATTTCGGGCTCAGGGTTTAGGGGCTCGTGAAGCCTCACTCCGAAATCCGTACGGCCCCAAACCCCAAACCCCAAACCCCAAACCCCAAACCCCAAACCCCAAACCCTAAACCCCAAACCCTAAACCCCAAACCCTAAACCCCAAACCCTAAACCCCAAAGCCCTGGAGCCGGAGGCTTCAGGAAAGCCAGGGTGCTGCATGGAGCAGGGCCGGATGGCCAGGCAATTGCCGCCATAGTAGCTGTCGAGCCTTGGGGGCTTTAGGGCTGGGGCTTAGGGTTCAGGGTTGAGGGTTTAGGGTTTAGGGTTGGGGGTTTAGGGTTTAGGGATTAGGGTTTAGGTTTAAGGGTTAGGGCTTACGGTTGAGGGTTTAGGGATTAGGGTTTAGGTTTAAGGGTTAGGGCTTAGGGTTCAGGGTTTAGTGTTTAGCCGCCTTGGCCTTCCTCAGCCCATTCGAACCAGTGCGTCGATGTTGCACGTGGCCCCAACCTTTTACCTAAAGACCCTGATCAGGATTTGGGGTCCGTAGTGGAATTCCAGGGAGAATGGGGGCGGGGGTATTTCCATGAAAAAGCCAAAAGCAACCCCTTAAACCCCTTAAACCCCTTAAACCCCTTAAACCCCTTAAACCCCAAACCCTAAGCCCTCTGGTCTTGGACAGGGCGCCCCGTGGTGTAGGACAAAGGCTGCTTGACCAGCGGGCAGAGGCCATCAAGGACCACCTCCACGATCTCGCGGCCTCGATTGCACCAGTTTGGGCCTTTAAACCCTAAGCCCTAAACCCTAAACCCCAAACCCTAAACCCTAAGCCCTGAGCCCTAACCCCGAAGCCCTAAGCCCTAAACCCTAAGCCCTGAACCCTAAACCCTCCGCATAAACTGATCCTCAATAAGGGTTCCACTAAGGATCCCAGAAAACCTACATAGGGGTACCCCGTTTAATACCCCAAGTAGAATAGAATAGAATCCCCTTTGAGTTGCCCCCCCCCCCGCCCCCCAAAAGGGTACTGCAGTCCAGCTGCCTTCATCCCTGTGCTGATGCTCGTAGCCGCCTTGGCGACGGAGCTTCTCAATAGCCCTAAACCCTAAACCCCAAACCCTGAACCCTAAACTCTAAACCCCAAACCCTGAACCCTAAACTCTAAAACCCAAACCCTACACCCTCAGCCCGAAAGTTTCGAGCCCTTGGGATTCAAGGCTTCCGACAGGAGAGGGGGGGTGGCCATGTCTCGGGCTTCCGAAGGCCGCCGCTCGAGGCTTCATTGGGCATCTTGGTAGCCCAGAACCCATATGGGCGGCTGTCAAAATTATGATCCCTTTTGGGGTACCCTAAATATTAGGTGCCGTATTATACTAGGGATCCAAAAAGGGACCATAATTTTGACAACCACCCATATCATAACGAGGGCACCCTTTTTGGTTGGCTGGTTACTTTACAAGGGAACCCAGAACCACAAGTAGTGTAAAGGGTACCGCTGGGCTACCCGGTTGTTGAAAGGGGGCTGAGGGTTTAGGATAGGGCTTCCGGCTTAGGATGGGGATTCGTGAGGTGAGTTCCGCGAACCCCGAACCCTAAACCCGGGGGGGGGGGTTGAGCAGGGATCATCGTATGGGCTGCTGTAGGGGCTGGTAATGGCACAGAGCTGTGGTGCGAGTTGCTTGTGGCTATATAGGGCCTTGAGGGTTTGTGGGGTCTGAAGTTCAGAATTGGGGGTGAAAGGGTGTATGGGCCTTTAGGGATGAAGAGGGGCCGATAACTTATCGTAGGGCTTACAAGGGTTTATGGGGATTACGGCTACGGGGTTGATACCTTCGCGCAGCATAGGGGCCATCAAGGGCAATGAGCGTTATCCCAGAAGTGTTGATCAACTCCATCGTTGCATTCGCTGTGCACCAGACGTAGAGAATGTCCTCAGCTGCAGGCGCAGGGTTCAGGGTTTAGGGCCTCGGGCTTCGGCTTGCGCATGCCATCGGCAGGATGAACATCCCCCAAGTCTTCCATCCTAAACACACCCCCCAAACCCTGCTCAATCCTCCATCCTAAACCCTAAACCAATGGCTCTCACAGCGTCACAAACTGTCTCCCTCGAGATCTCTCGCTCTTCTGTCTCTCTCGCTCTCTCCCTCTCTCCCTCTCTCTCCTGCATTTAGGGCTCGGGACCCGATCCGAGTATCCAAGCTCACAAAAGTCCAAAACCCTTCCATACAACACTGGGGCCGCAACGTGCTGCTCCAGCAGGAAATTCTCCTCACTGCTCCGAGTTGGGTTTAGGGTTTAGGGCCTAGGGCTTAGGGAGGATTTTGGTTCAGGATGATGGGTGTAGAGGTCTTAGGCTTTTGGGGTGCCTCAGGGTTCTTTGGAGATGACGAAGCTTCTCAAAACACATTCGGCCAAGAAGCATCGAGATTCGCCAACGCCACCTGTCAGTCATGTGCTGCGGTTGTAGTCTCTACACAAGATACACCTTAAACCCTCAACCCTAAGCTTAACCGCACATTGGGATCACTTGAAATGCAAATAGGCCTAATAACTTGCAGCTCTAGGACCACATGCTCCCCTAACAATATATATGCCACACATCTTTGCACCGAAAAAGACACACTCTTCCTCTCGCGCAGAACATTCACACACTCTCATTCTCTTTCACAAACATCCTCTCTCTCTCTCTCTCGATCTCTCTCTCGGTTTCCCTCTCCCTCTCTTTCTCTCTCCCCCGCTCTCGCTCTGTTGCTCTGGCTCTCTCTCTCTCTCTCTCTGTCTCTCTCTCTCTCTCTCTCTCTTTGTCTCTCTCTCTCACACGCACACACACACACAAAAGCCGAACAAAAGGGGCGGTAAGTAACCTTTGGAACAGAAACTCTTGCATCAAAAGGGGCCCAAGAAGAGACAGAAAAGTCTTTCTGGCCGAATTTCACCTTTCGGTGTTGAGGGCTTTCTGGTGCCCTAAACCCCAAACCCTGAACCCTAAACCCTGAACCCGAAGACGTCCGCCTCCGTGCCCATGCGCTCGACCCTCACAATGCTGGCCACTCCTGGGAAGCGGACATGGTTGGGCGGTTGGTTGGGTTGAGGGTTTAGGTCTTTGGGCTTAGCGCTCAGGGTTGCTCGTATTGCCCCCCCCCCCCCCCCCCCCGCCCCCACCCAACTCGGTTAAAACCCTAAGCCCTTTTCGCGGAGCGACAAGCATCCAGTAAGCCTGAGAGCCTTGATCCCCACCCGTCCCCTCATTCACCTTTGGGGGCTTTGAGGGTTGGGGTTTAGGGTCTAACCCCACTACTGATTATAGGTCAAATCTAGAATTCCGATCTAGCAGTCATAGTTACAGGTTGAGTCAGGCTGAGCTTTTGGAGCTTAGGCCTCAGAAATTAAGGGTACCTTATTGGGGGTGCTTATTATAAGGGAATGCGCACAGCTCACTGCTCTTCAAACTCCGCCCTCAGCAGGGTATCCTCCGAGCACGGTGAGCAGTCCCGACTCCGTCAGCGACCTGGGCCCCAAGCCCTGAACACACCCTAGAACCCTAACTGCCCTCAATCCTGTACCCCCCAACTACCCTGACTACCCTAACTACCATAACCCTAACACACACACAAACACACACAAACTTCAAGAACCTCAAGAACCCGAGAGGGGCGCCTGTTGCAAAGCAGAGTCGTTTTTGGGGCGGGAACCCTTCCTTCTAAGGAACACCGTTCGTTTGGAACCACCCCCTCTTACCTGTCCAGTTTCTCACGGGAACTGCAAGGGCCACCCTTTCAGAATAAGCGAAATGCTGCTGACCCGACTGCCAAGAGATTCTACACGAGTTAGAGGACTACCTGTATCGAACCTCTTACCGCAGATGCTTCCGCTTCCGTGCATTGCGGTGTCATGACTCGGATCAGCATGGGGCAGGAAAAAGTCAGTGGAAGCTCGGAGGGCAAGAGGGAGGGAGAGAGTGGCTCAAACAAAAGAAAGACAGAAGACAGAAAGAAGTACGGAAGGAGAGACAGGGAAGAAGACAGAACGAGCCCCGCAAGTCCCGACCCTAGCCCGGCCTCCCTCCGAGAGAGCTTCCAGAGATCTGAATGTTCGCCAAGAAAAGTTTCCTCAGCTGGAGTGCTCCCCCAACACACCGAAACCGTTCTCCCTGACAGAACCGCATAAAGGGCAATGAGGACCCCGGCTCCCGCCCGCCCCCCACCCCGAAGAAAAGGTCGCAGTGTCCATCGTTTTTGGGGGGTTGGGGCAACACAGGGTCGTTGTTCAAGGGCTGCGGGTCATGAAACTACAGCTGTTAATTGCTTGAATCTGACCCAAGCTGGGTCGGCAGTTCCTCAATTGAAGCTCTCGTGGACTGCCCATCCCCAAACCGTACCTCCCACATGTGTCCTAAACAAACATCCGGCAAAATCCCCAAAGCCCTCATTCCTCAGAGCCTGGTGAGACAAGCTTCTTGCTCTCGGCGCTTGCCTCAGCAGGTCAAAGTTGCTTTGGGTAGGTTTGCGGGGGGCATGGCGCTGCTTCGCATCTTCGTAAGCTTCAGGGCACAAGTGTACTCTACGAGGGTTACAAAACAAAGTCCACCATTTGCCTCTCGAAACCCATAAACACCACTGGCCTACGAGTGGTTGACGCCCAGTCGTCTTCTCCTTCTCACGCCAGCCCCTCATGGACCTCAGGCCTCTACACTCTCTCCAAGCAGGTCCATGCGCGGCTGTGTACATGATGAGTAGGTAAAGCTAGTGACACTATGTAAAAAGCCCCGGGTTCCCACGCGTGAAGCCGGCATCTGTCGGGGCCCTGACCCCCGAGCCTTGACACGGGAGCATCGGCCAGATATGCCTCTTCCTTGACGCCCCGCATAAGCCGGTCTTACTTCTAATCCCAAGCAAGCCCGAAGAGTTTTTCAAAAACAGCCCTCACCAAGTCCTGCTAAACGTCGTTCTTTGAGGGGCGAGCTGCAGAGCCTTCCTGCGTGCGAACAAAATCCCCCCCCCCCCCCTCCCACCTTGTTCGGACTTTGCGGCGAGGCAGCCTCTGTGGCCAGAATGGTCCTTAGCGTTGAAAGGCTTTGAAAGGCGGGTGTTGTTGCATGGTTTGGCAGAGGTGGTTTGGTGTGGGCACCCACGAGTTTTTCCAAGCCCTTTCTCAACAACAAGAAACATTAAACACTACGTGTAATCCCCGCTTCCCCCGTAAACCTGAACCCATTCAGTTCTCGCAGCTGTCTCGGAGGAGGGGCATTCGGGGACCAAGGGTGCACAGGATTAGGGGGTCCAGGAATTTCGGGGTCGAGGGGTTGCGGGGTTTAGGGCTCAGGCGGGCTTGCAGCAGGATGAGGTACATTCCGCAAATGATTTCCGCGCTTTTTGCTGCGACATCTTCAACTTAGTGCCCTGCTCCTTGCGTGCTCTTGTAAGTCCCTCATGTCCGCTCAACTGAATGCAAATCCCTTGCATGCAGGGAGCGGCACCGCAACGGCAAGGTAAAGCAGAGTTCCCTGAGCTCAAGGGGCTGAGTTGCTCGAGGAACCCTACAAGGCATTGAAGCCTGACCAAAATCTAGGCTGTTCAGCAAGCCCTGGGCAAAACCCTGGTGTTCTTCTAAGGGGTGATCATTCAGAATCCGAACAGGCGCTCAAAGCCTATAATTACTGCACAACGCCGTTTCAGCCCAGGAAGCCTCTGATGCTACATATTAGGGCCTCTTTTGGGCAGCGCACCGTCCCTGGTGATTTTTGTAGGGTACCCGGCTGACCACAGAGTCCGCACCCAGACCCGACGGTTTTGAAGTCTGTAGGGTTTAGGGTTTGGGGTTTGGGGTTTGGGGTTTGGGGTTTGGGGTTTGGGGTTTGGGGTTTGGGGTTTGGGGTTTGGGGTTTGGGGTTTAGGGTTTAGGGTTTAGGGTTTAGGGTTTAGGGTTTAGGGTATTTCAGGCTTTGAGGGCGCAGCTGTGGGTGCGAAAACCGCGGGACCTCCACACAGAAGACACCGACACCTCAAAAACCTGACCCTGAAGCCCTTCAAACCCTGAATCCTGAAATCCGAAAGCCCTCCAGAACCCTGAAGTTCGTGCCCAGGCTCGAAAAATCGTCTCTGACAAGGATTAAGCCGCAACACGCTTCGAATACCGAGCTCCAGCCCCAAGAAAGCCCCTAAGCCCTGAAAAAAAAAGACTGCATAGTTCCCAACATCGTCCCCCTTGTGACCCCTCTATGAAATTCCTGTGCAAACTGCTCAATCTAAGGTTTCTACCTTGGACCCTTAAGGTTTTACCCTTGGGTCTTGGGGTCCCGCTTTAGGATCCCTAAGGGGCAAAAGGGGGCCGTATTCGGAGTATATTAAGGGGAACCTTAAGGGCTACAACCTGAGGGGTACGGGTCGTCATCCCAATTGACTCAAGATGCCCCCCAGCCCCAAACCCTAACACCCTCCGCCCCTCCCGCAACCCTCGTGGGCAGGGCACTGTGCCACAGAGGAAGGAAAGGCTGGAAATAGCAAAGTTGTCAAACGGCTCCAGACCTGCGACCAGGATGTCGGGCTTGGTAGCCCAGAAACCATATTAGAATAAGGGCACCCTTTTTTTGGGGTTGGTTACGTCTATTTGAACCCAGAGCCGAAAAACGAGTAAAGGGTACTACGGGGCTATCAAGTGGGGTTAGGGCATTGCGGCGACTAGTTCTGGGCAACGTACAGCGCGCTGTCCTTCGGAGACTCCTGCCAAGACCGTCACTTCACCTCTTCCTCGAAGCATACAAACAACAACTTAAATGTCAATTGAGGGCAGGCTGGTCCTTGAAAACCTCCGCAAACATTCCGAAATTAAGATCCTTACAAGCCCAATAAAAAAAGTAAGGGTAAAGTGTCTCAGGGCAGCTGGCATGTTTTACAACAGCAGCTAAGTGAAGCGTGTGCCCGAAGCGCTCCCAAATGACCCCCTTGGGTTTTAGGAAGCAGGGTCTGAGGCTTTTGCCTACATCATGGGTTTCCCCCACGCCCTACTACCCCCCTCTATACTGCGCCCCCCCTAGGTTTTCCCCCTTAAATGATCTTGATTCGGCTTTCACACCCCCAAATAGCCTTAATTATGGGGGAACCCAGGCGGGGGGGTAGTATAGAGGGGGGTCGTAGCAGGACCCATGATTAAAGGATGTAGGGGGAGGCGTGTCCTTAGTTTGCCTGGTAGTTTCGAGGATTTCTGCTGGTAGGTGCGGTGTTTCGGGGGTGAGGGTGACCAGGCGATTCTGACACCTGCACTTCCGTTGCTTGTGGGTATGGGGATGGGGGCGGGGGGGGTGGGGGGGTATGGTTACGACACTTGGACTGCGTGGCAGGAAAGCAATGTTGTCGGCAGCAGTGTGGGTTTCCAGGTGCACTGGCCATGCTTCTCGCCTGGCTGGCTCTCTCGCTCAGCCTTGCGCTGCTCCTTCGTGCAGATGTTGCGGCCTACCTTCCCTGGCTGGTAAGCTTCAGTGATGAGGATGCTCTTGCGCACATCGAAGTCCTCACGACACCCTTTCCAGCTGGACTTGGTGAGTGGCCTTGCGAGCCATGCTGACGGATTCCCGGTGGGTTGGCGTGCCATGGGAGCACCTTTCCTTTCCAGCAGCTTTTTGTCCGCAGTGGCTTTTGCTCATCTTCGCGCACGACCACGAGGCTTCCGCGCCTCTCCCTGGGCTCTTTGGTGTCTTCAGCGTGTGGAGCGTTGTTTCGGACCCGTCTCAGCTGAGATGGCTCCGTTTCCAGCAGATGGCTCGGCGGGATCAGGCATGCTGCCTTCTCCTGACACTGGGGGCGATTTGCTGAAAAAAGAACACAAGAGCGACGTTCCACCTAAACTACCTTTTACACTCCAGACAGTTTCTCCCGCCTGCATGTCGAAAACATCGTAAATTACAGTCTTTCCAGCCCTTCATGTCTTCAAACGCACCATGTCTCGCACGTCCCTAACTGCACCAAGACCTGAAATATTGTAAATTGCAAGGTTTCCAGATGCCGCAGACAAGCCGCGACAAAAGCACCAGGCAAACTACGCACACGCGACCATGTAGGGTCTAAGGCTTTCGCTCAAAGGATGTGGGGTACATGCGCTAAAAGGGGACCCCTTACATACCCCTTATAGACCCTGGCAACCCCAAACCCCAAACCCCAGACCCCAAACCCCAAACCCTAAACCCTATAGCTACCCTTGGAATGTAGGGCTCCCCTGGAAGCCTCGCTCCATCAGCAGCGACTGGACCACCAGGTTTGAGGAGGTCGAAAAGATGGCAAACGCCCCGATGACAAGCCTGGCAGTCAGCTCCATCGAACATATCGTAAGGCTTAATTCCATAAACCCTAAACCCTAAACCCTAAACCCTAAACCCTGAACCCTAAACCCTAAACCCTAAACCCTAAACCCTAAACCCTAAACCCTAAACCCTAAACCCTAAACCCTAAACCCTAAACCCTAAACCCTAAACCCTAAACCCTAAACCCTAAACCCTAAACCCTACGGGGGAATCGCGCCAACCGCCGGGTTCTAAACACATTGAACCGAGATGGTTCAAGGTTACTGAGCACCTGCGCTAAACTCTCTTGTGCCATCGGGTTTTGGCTTGGCTTGAAAACCTAAATCATGTGGTGGAGTTCGGGGTTTGCGTAGGGTTTGGGTCACCGTTGGCCACGCCGCGATCAAGGCCCCTTGTAGGGACAATAGGGCTTTATCTAGGGGCCACTTCGAGGCGAGTTCGTGCATACATGGTACATGTGTACACGGGTATTGCAATCGGGTGTTCGGACTCAGGGTCTCCCCCCTTAGCATGCCCCTGGTGCGCAGCCGAAGGGCATAATGTAGCTCATCGGCATGAGAAAGAGACGAGGGGGCATGTTGATCTCCTGGTTTAGTGTTTGGAGTGCAGGGAACGCAGAGCTTGCACAATTTCTGCATGAAGGAATGTCCCTGAACCATCATTGGGGCTCAGGTTAGGGCTTGGGGTAGTTCTTAGCCGGGACTGAGGGCTATGCAGCGGGATATGGCGCACCTACTTCCCCCAGAACTCGTAAGTGAACGAAGGAATGTCCCCGCAAACCATTGGGGAATTGGCCTAGGGGACATGGGGAGTTCTGGGAATGCCGAGAGCAGGACAGAAGGGGCTCGAGCCCCACATCCCCAAACTTCGCGAATATTCGATAATGCAATGTAGTAGGGGTCGGAATAGTTGCTAGTAGTATTATTCCCTGATGGTCCCTGAATATAACTATACTATGATGACTCCCAAAGCACTATTCTACTTGTTAAGGCCCCTATATTCGTGCGATGACGGGAAGATTCACTACTCAACCCTAAACCCAGAAGGAAGGGGGGTGGACCCGGTCCTTGCACCACTTGTCGATGACTGGGATCAAAACCTTGAAGCGTTGAAGCGTGGTTTAGGATTTGGGGTTACCATGGCCCCTGTTTCGCCAAAGGCACGCGTCCTCTTGAGGGCGACCGGTGCAGTGAAGTTTAGGGTTTAGGGTTCAGGGGTCCAAGCTGGGTGTGGGAGCCTTGCACCACCAAATCTCCTAAGACGGTATCCCAACCCTACGAAAAGGTTTAGGGCGGCTAAGGGCCTAGGGTGTGAGCTGTAGGGAAAGGTTTTCTGCGTGTAGGATGGCTTAGAAGTTAAGATTTAAGGCTTCGGGTGCTGAAGTTTAGGGTTTTATTGGGACTCTGCGGCTCTGACCCTGCAGATATACAGTCCTGGTAGGAGCATGGCCATGGAACCACGGCTAACCCGAAACCCTAAACCCTAATAAACCCTAAAGCCCCGAGACTAAATTCCCTAAAGACCCCAACGCTCTCAAATCCCCAAAAGCCAGCCCTGAGACCCACCAAAACCACCCAACACCAAAAACCCTAAACGCCCGAAAACAAACAAACCTGGAAAAACCCAAGAACCCAAACCCCCCCCCCCCCGCCCTCGTAGAACAAAAACAAAAACTAACAACCCAAAACCAGGCCACTCCCATCACGCAGGTGTTGGAGATGCTCGTGGCCAAGGGCATGGCAGGAATGCTCAGCCTCCCGTCGCGCGAGCGCGCGCGCGCGCGCGCCACTTTTCTGGCTCGGGCTGCCACACGGGCTCTTAGGGGGGAGCTTTACTTTAGATGGTTTTCAGGGGTTGCAGGGGCTTTGGGGGTTTTAGGGGTTTTAGAGCTTCAGGGGTGACGGTTTTAGATGGTTTGGGGGGGTAGGGTGCTCTAGGGCTTTTGAGCTTCAGGCTTTCGATTCGGGAGCGTTTAACCCTTCGATCTCCAACTCTGGGCATCCGCTCCAAACCTTTCTAGAGAACCTGCAGCCCGCGTCTAAACCCTAAAAGGCCGAAACCCTGAACTCCTGCACCCCAAACCCCCCGAAAATCCCTCCAAACCCCCTAACACCCCCTCACACCCCCGAAGCCCGAAACCCATCAATAGTCCCCCTAAATCTCGAAACCCTAAACCCTAAACCCTCCCCTAAATCTCGAAACCCCTAAGCCTGCAAACCTCTGCCGAAGCCAGTGGGAGGGGGAGTCCTTGCCTCAAGATGGCGAAGAAGTACGTTTTCGGGTGGCCAAGGACTCCTCAGTGGGCAACCCTCAGGGTTTAGGGTTTAGGGTTCAGGGGATAGAAGGGTTGAGGGTTTAGGGTTTTGAAGGGTTTCTGGTCTGGACAGGATCGAGAATACGCTGATGCTGCGGAGCACTGGGTCCACCGACTAAGAGTTTAGGCCTTGGAGCACAGGGCTCCGCGAAACGGGGGTGTGCAGAAATACTCCCGAACTCTGCGTCGCAGAAGGACCTACTGGAGTGCGAAATGCACCCAACGATTCGGCTACATGTGGCTTGTAAAGGGCGCAACCTTTGATCTTTAGGTATGGACTCGGACGCCGCACCAGGGGTTTGCATCATTTGGGCAAGCTACCCCGAGCCCCAAAACCGGACGGCAAGCTGTCCGAATGTGGTTGCTTCGGCTTTAGGGGATCTATCAGTACCCATGAAGCTTGAGGGGGGGCGGTAAGTGACTTAGGGTCGCTTCCCTGATCCCGACCAGCCCTAGCGACGGATTCAACGCCCAAGGGGCGCATAAAGAGAAAGTCGATGACGCCGGTGTGGTGGACACCAGCAGAGACCTCAGCTCGGAAGCAAACCCATCTTAAAACTTAAAACCAGCCAGCAAAACGGACTTCAACTGTCATTCTACACCGTTTGCGTCAAGGAAAGCCTCGTTGGGTGCGTGACAACCAAGCAAGCATCTGGACCCTACACCCCCCGAAGGTCAGGGTTTAGGGTTTAGGGTTTAGGGTTTAGGGTTTAGGGTTTAGGGTTTAGGGTTTAGGGTTTAGGGTTTAGGGTTTAGGGTTTAGGGTTTAGGGTTTAGGGTTTAGGGTTTAGGGCAGACCCCCCAGTTCCTGAACCAAACGTGTCTCTCAGCCCAGAGGCGATGCCCAGGACCGCTACGGAGAGGACCACCGAGTTGCCTTGGTTTGCGGTCAGGGGTCTGGGGTCTGGGGTTTGGGGTTTAGGGTTTAGGGTTTAAAAGTTTAGGGTTTAGGGTTTAGGGTTTAGGGTTTAGGGTTTAGGGTTTAGGGTTTAGGATTTGAGGTTCAGGGTTTGAGGTTCAGGGTTTGAGGTTCAGGGTCCAAAAAATCCCAGAGACGTCTGCAACTCGAACCAGAAGACTACACCTGAAGGCTCTCACGCAGTTCGTGCCGGGGATTGCTCTCGCCACTATGGTTCGGAGGCTTATAAGCCGTCCATACTCCCCTTAGAACCTTAATGAAAATAATACTCTTAGTATCCTCTTGGGTTGTATATGAACAACACTAAAAAATATTTCCCAAGGGGGATAAGGTCGCCGGGTGCATACTTGAGCGAAGTCCACTTTCATCCCTGAGCCCTAAACCCTAAACCCTAAACCCTGGCCCTAAACCCTAAACCCTAAACCCTAATCCCTAAACCTTAAAACCCTAAACCCTAAACCCAGTGCTTGCCATGTGGCTGAAGCCGCCCCAGGCATCGCGGTCATTGTCCAAGGCACCCACCAGCCTTTCGGGTTTAGGGTTTAGGGTTTAGGGTTTAGGGCTTAGGGCCGCAGGGTTGCTGGGCCTTAGGGCTGCTATGGTGGCAGAAGCAGAACGAACCCCCTACACCCCAAGTTCTGCCCACGAAGCCCCTAAAGAACCCCATTTACTTTGGAGACAAGGCTGGATCTTCGAGGTGCCAAGCAAGGCTGGCTTACCACCCCATGGGTCTCGGGATGAAGGGGCCCCTGTCCTTTTAGACGGCTTGAAGGGCTTTCAGGTAACTAAACTTTGAGGGCTGCAGTTTAGGGTTTAGGGTTTAGGGTTTAGGGTTTAGGGTTTTGCAGTTCAGGGCAAACCCTCAAGCCCCCCCCTCCCCTCCCCCCATGAGCAAAAAGGGCTCCTCAGGAGCAGCGTGGAGCTGATCAGGACGACATCTGCTTGGTACTGCCTCGGCTGCTGCTTTCAGGAACTCGAATTTTTGAGTTTCCATCCTGAGAATGCAGATTTTGTTTGCTACCCAGATCCCTGTATCCGAAACCCTGAACTGGGGGTAGGTTTGGGAGCCCTATACACCAACTATGGCTTCTTAAGGATCATATAGGGGATTTAAGGGCCATAGAAGTTCGAAAAAATGTTCAAGCCCACCCCTGTAAACCTCAAGAGCAACCCAGCTGCTTCAGCAGCATGAAGAGTGCCTCCAGGGTCACCTTGGGACGACTTCCGTCGAAGGCATGGTTCCCACAAACCGAGGCTTGGGGCCGCCGAATCTCAGTTGGCCCTTAAAAAAGCCTCCACTGACCCGAACTACGAAACCCTGAACCCACAAAGGATAAGGATGACCTTATCCCAAGGGTCCTGCCTAAAAATTGTACGCGTAAGGAAGCAGGGGGTTCGAGGGCCCGGCCCCCCCCCGGCCCCCCCCCTGGCTTGGCCGACCCCCACTGAGGTTCCGACAAACATGGTGAAGTAGGAATAGCCGTCCCTGGCTGGGCAGCGGTGAATCTAGAGCTTTTCAGACTCTAGCGCCTGAAGCCCCGAGCCCTGAACCCTAGACTTGCTGGTTCTTAGCAGGGAAATAGGGAAGGAGGTACATTAGAGAATCGCTGAAAGTAACTCCCTCATTCCGTACTAAGATCCAGTAAGTATCCTAAGAATTTTAGATGTACCTTTAGAATTTAGACTTCAACACACGTGTGGCTCTTGGGAAACTATTTGGGATTCCCAGTTCCTATGGGTGTAAAATGGGAATGGGAGGGCTATGTTTGGGAAGGGTTTTCTGCTATGAGCCGCCACGTAGAAAAGCGTGCCAATATAGTATAGTCACCAAATTGCACACAGTGATTTCGGAAGTGGGCTCGAGAACGATAGCGTGCGAACACGCTTTGCGGCAACGTTAAGTCGCACAGGGTCTCTTGCCGAACGTCTCTTCCCAACAGCATCAGCTACACTCCAAAAACGCTTCCCAATAAAGTTCTTGAGCTGCAAGCATCCCCATATGTTTCCATGCTCCTACGCTAACAAGAGTGAAAAGCCACGCCTACATCTCCCCACTCGTGACACCCAAGCTACGTGAATTCCAGCCCTCCACGTCAACTTAAAAAACCCTAAACCCGAAACCCTAAACGCTAAACCCTAAACCCTAAACCCTTAGATTCCTCCTGCTTCCAAGGAGCAACTCGGTGGTCAGATTCAGCTGCCAGAGAAAAAGCGACAGGCAGGCCAGAACAACCTTGGCTCAGGTTTGCACTCCACTGAAGCAGGTATTGGGGTTTAGTGTTTAGGGTTTAGGGTCGGTTTTTTTTATTGATATCGCTTCTTAGGTCCTTGAGTAAGGCAAGATATCATATACCCAACCTACCCCCCAAACGCCGACTTGCAACTCTGACGAAGAAGGTCCTCGATACTAACAACTACCAAATTCGACGGCTCGGCTCCAGTAGGCAGAAAAGGCAGCAGACTCCTAGGAAGACGTCAGGCTAATAAGCCCTAAACCCTGAACCCTAAACCCTGAAACCTAAACCGCTTCAGGCCTCAAGCCGAAGTCGGACCATCCCAGACCCTTGAGGTTGCTTAAACTCCTATTCCCTGAACGCCAAACCCTGTAAACTGCTAGCTAAAGCCCTTTTTGGTCTTCGGCCTCACACAACATCTGAACCCTAGCCTTTGCCCCCGGCGCTCCCCCCCACCCCCCCTCCCCCAAAACCCAGGGGTCGGGAGACTCTACAGCTCTAAGCCCTAAACCCCAAACCCTGAACCCCTAATCCCTGAATCCTAAACCCCAAACCTAAAACCTCAAGAGTTCGAGTCTGGCAGCGAACACCACAGCTTCAGGAGACTGGGCATTGGCCTCAACCCCACGTGGTTTGGGGTTCAGAGGGCTTGAACTCGAGTTCCAACCGACCTTCTTGGGGTCGAGGGGAAGTAGGGTGTTTAGTTTTTACGGCTGCGTAGGGTATGTAGGGTATTTAGGGGTATGTAGGAGCATGCAGGGTTTAGCAATTCAGGGGACTGGTGTACGAATTGAGGAGGAATGTACTGCTACACAAGACTCATGCTCATATACGTAGAAAGGAAAGTATACAAGGCCCATACAAGGCTCGGGGGGGGGTGGGGGAAGGGGGGAGGGGGAGGTCTCAACACCCGCCAATGGGTGTGAAGCGCAACGCGGTTCACCTATGAACTCAGACATGTTCAACAAGCGCTTTGGGCATACCGTTACAAGAAAATAAGGGGCTGTGGCAGAACCCTTGCTTGTATTCTCCTAGGGGTATGGGCTTGGGGTATGTCGGCATGTTTCTTGGAATATGAACTTCGGTTTAGGGTTCAGGATTTAGGGTTTAGGGTTCAGGGTTGTTTAACTACAGGGCAATCCTGAGCACGGTGGCTTCGTGGCTCGCCTCACACCTCGAGTCTTAGTAGGAAGCTGGAACTCTAGTACTCCCAAACCCCAAACCCCAAACCCCAAACCTCCCCAAACCTCCCCAAACCCTAAACCCTAAACCCTAAACAATAAACCCTAAACCCTAAACCCTAACCCCTAAACCCTGAGCCCTAAGCCCTAACCCTAAACCCTTACCCGACCGAACCGGCACACTTAACCTCACATGGAGCAAGTGTCCCACAAGATCTCCATCGGTGGCTGCCAGGCGTAGATGCCAGAAGGTAACCCTCAGTGAGCGGGAAGGTGCTTTGTTGTCGCCATTTTAAAAAATTCAGGCCACAGGAATCGCCAGTTGAACACTGACTCAACCCCAGGCCCGAAACCGTGGAAGATTGAATTGTGGAGGGTACGAGCTTTGCTTGACAAGGTGGCTGGGATCCTAGAACAGACAAAGCCTACTGACTGAGTATCATCCCCGCTGGCTATACAAGTAAAAACCAGGTTTAAAAAAAAACAAAGGACACGCGCTATGCAATCCCTGACCCTGTAGGTTCCCCTGTAGCAGATCCTTTCTGAAGGTTCAGCGTGTAGATCTGAATACTTCAATTAAGGCATAGGCAGATCTAACTGGTTCTACAACCCAAATAAGCCCTAACCCCAGAAGCAAGAAGCGTAATACATGTAAAAACCATCAAACCTCAACCCCAAAACCCCTAAACCCTAACCTCCTTGACAGACGTCAAGCGTCTGGTCAAATCAGTAGGGCTGTCGTTGCCTTGCGCCGGCACTGGAGGGGGGGAGCACAGCGATCAACTCAAAACTCGAAGCTCAAAGGACCACCTGTATATATATATATATCTAATATACATATATATATATATATGTATATATTATATACAGGCATTATGCGTTCTATATTATATGGAATACATTATATATTATGGTGACTATGGAGTTCATCGCAGATATTATGAACCTTGACCACCTGAAGTCCTAAGCCCTCTCCAATCAAGATAGACTCTGCGTGAGCTCCGCTCAGAGGGCCTTTTTCAGAGTTTTGAGGGTTTAGGGTTTAGGGTTCAGGGTTTAGGGTTGGGGGGCTTGTTCGAGAGCAGAGTCCTACAAGGGAGACCTTTGAGTCTTGTTTTGTTGCTGATCAGATGAGTAAAATGTCGGCTCAAGGTTTGAAAGGTTTGCCGGGGTGGAACACCCCCAAAAACCCTGAATCCCAACGCAAGGTGAGCGCGCCTTCGGTGGCTCCTGTTCTCTTCGTTGAGTTTGGATTTTGGAAAGATGCGAGTCGAATGTGGCCGAAACTTCTGACTTTTTACATCACGGGATACGAGAAAACATCCCCAAGATACGAGAGGCCTTTTGCTATCTAGGACGCTTCCACGCACCCATCCACACAAGACAAGGGTGGAACCCCCCAATTTCGGAAACCTCAGCAGGATTTCCCGCCGGCCTCTCGTATGCTTATCCAGGATCGGCAGCAACAGCCGCGAGTGGCGGCGGCTCCTTGGAAGCAGATGGCTAGAAGATTTGGGGGCCTCAGGATTGCAGGGTAGAGGGTTTTAGGGCTAAACCCTAAACCCTAAACCCTAAACCTTAAACCCTAAACCCTAAACCCTAAACCCTAACCCTAAACCCTCAACTTTAAACCCTACACCCTCAGCCCTAAACCCTAAACCGCGGGTTTGGTGGTTTGAAGGTTGAAAGGTTTTTAGGGGCGGCTCGCGAGGGCTCTGAAGATGCTTAGGGATTCCTTTAACGTTTGGGGGGGGCGCTCAGGGATTCATGAAGCCTTGAGCCCGTTAAAGTTTAGGGTTTAGGGTTTAGGGTTTAGGGTTTAGGGTTTAAAGGTTAGGGTTTAGGGAGGGCTCCCAAGGATCGAGGGCTTAGGTGCTAGGGTTTAGGGTCGAGGGAAACACTCCCAAGTACCCTGAGCATCAGAAATCCCAAGCTTCGAGTACGGGCCATCCTGTACCCTCACGCAGTAAAGACCAGCAGGGAACTACCCTTCAGAGGTCCTCACTCAGCCCTAAACCCTAAACCCTAAACCCTAAACCCTAAACCCTAACCCTAAACCCTAAACCCTAAACCCTAAACCCTAAACCCTAAACCCTAAACCCTAAACCCTAAACCCTAAACCCTAAACCCTAAACCCTAAACCCTAACCCTAAACCCTGAACCTTTGGGAGGCCTCCATGAGGGCCTTTCCAGGCCCCCTCCTTCGCATGGCCAGGTCACGTGTGGCTCAGCAACGGCTGCGCCCAGTCCTCGGGCGTGCCGGCAGGCTCCTGTGCTCAAGGGATACTCGGGGGCCGGGTTTCATGGGTTTAATGGGTCTAAGGGCTTTCATGGGCTTAGTGGGTTTAGGGAGGGTTGTGAAGAACCCCCAGCTCCATGACTTAACTCTGAACTCCCCAAGACGGAGTTAGCAAACACAACAAGCACTGCATTGTGGGGTCCTTTCCTGCCGCAAAGCTAAAAACCAACCGCCAACCAGCCAAAGCAAGACTTAAAGCAACACTTTAGCAAGCCTTGTTTGGGATTTGGGAACGGCTTTCGCTAGGCTGGCGGCTGGAGTGAGTCATTCCGATCCCAGTTGTTTTAAACTGAAAACCCTCACAACCAATCCCCCTGCCAAGCCTGAACTCTAATCCCCTACCCCCCCCCCCCCCCCCCAAGCACTAAACCCCCGCAATCACCTGAAATACATACCCTTAAACCCTAAACCCTAAACCTAAAACCTAAAACCTAAACCTAAACCTTCGGGTAGGAGGACAAAGCTCGCCCGGCCTCCAACAGCTTCAGCATGCGAGAACAGCGATCTTCGCCGTCCGCAAGCAGAGACTCGTTGAGATTCTCCATGATGTCGGCCTGTTTAGGGTTTAGGGTTTAGGGTTTCTTGATGTCGGCCTGTTCATAGCATAACTTGGTAGCCCGGTAACAGTAGGTTTAGGGTTTAGGGGTTTAGGGTTTAGGGGCTTAGGAACCCTAAACCCTAAAACCTTGTTTGGGGCTTGGGTACTGCGAAAGGGATCCTTGTGAATGAATGCAATAAAGGCCCTAACTTGATATGTAAACGAGCGCACGATAATTTAAGGGCCCTTGTGCGTGAAATGAGCACAATGATAATAGTAATTTTACTATGCGCGCGAAAAAGGGACATGAAATGGGCGCACTAATAGTGATACTTTAGTGGCGCCCTCGTTGTTCTCTTCTTGGGCGCACTTGTGCATAATATTTGATGTAGGAACGGAGTGAACGATTATTCCTAATTAGAACCAAAACAACGGGAAATGGGCACCACTGCGCTACCAAGTGACACTATAGGGGCCTTAATTATTCGAATAGGGGGCTTGAATTTAGATAGTAACCAGAGGGTATTTACTGTTAGGAAGATTCCGACACCGGTATTGTAGTAAACACAAACCACGAGATGCTAAACCCCTAAGCCATAGAAGCGCAATCCCCAAATAACGCTCTTTGCTGCAACCACAAAAACTCTAGACCCTAAGCAGCATATCAGTATGCCTACATAGAAATAAGTTTAAGGTCCAGCGTTTGTGTTTAAGGTTGAGCAGGGCTTAGGGCATTCTAAAGTAACTGTTCCTTTGAACACGATGGAAATCTGCCTTAACTACTTGAGCGCGCTTACCACTTCTTAAAGACAGCGGCTACCGGGCTATTCTGGGTAGGATTCTTACCATTAAGTGGTTGAGGCTTGCATCCTTGATGTAGGAGCTCCTGTTGCTTGTTTGTTTGTTTGTTGTTGGTGGGGGGGGAGGACCCTACCGAGCTGTGTGGTGTGGCATCTATACAAGGCATGTAGATCGTGTGTGGAACTTTACTTGAGGTGGTAGGGTGTGGGGCTCAAGGTTGAGGGAGTCTCTTATCCAGTAGACTGGAAGACCGCTCCGAACTCTCCGGTTCAGGGTCCCCCCCCGCCCTCCCACCTCATCCTCTACACCTTCAACCCAACCTAATACCGCAGGGTTTCTAAGTCCAGGAAGGGGCTAAACCTTAGCACCCCAAGGCTGAACCCTCCTGTCGAAAAATCCCTCTTCAGAGAAGGGATCCCTTGAGCCCTCACCCCCCGAGATCCGAAATCCTGAACCTCTGAGCCTCCGAGACGCTCGGGACGCAAGGGAGCCAATATTTAGTTTGAAGGGCCCTGATTCCCGAACTCCCCACGGAGACACTTTTGGCCGTAGCATGCTCTGAACTTTAAACCCTGTACCCAGAACATCCCAGAACCCTAGGAGGCATTTGCACGGAAAGAGGCGAGGCTTTTCCACGGACGGAGGCACGAAACCGCCATTCCTTGAAAACGAAGCAAGCCAAAACGCTAAACTCACAGCCCGAACCACACTACAACCCTTGACATTACAAGCAAAGCCGTGAGCCTAACTAAAACCGAGATGAATCTCCTTCTAAGCCCACTGCACAGGTCGGGCTAACCTGGCCGTGGTGTTGAATCCTGGTCATGGTAAGTCCCAAAGGCGCAAGCTAACCCAAAAAGGCGCTGCAAGCACATCTCCTAAACCTCCGACCCTTACCCCTAACCCCTAACCCCTAACCCCTAACCCCTAACCCCTAACCCCTAACCCCTAACCCCTAACCCCTAAACCCTAAACCCTAAACCCTAAACCCTAAACCCTAAACCCTAAACCCTAAACCCTAAACCCTAAACCCTAAAAAAAACCCTAAACCCTAACCTACCCCCCCCCCCCCCCCCCCCCCCCCCAACCCCCCTGGCCCCTGCGCCTGCATGGTCTTCGAGACCCCACAGCGCTTGTCATACCTTCACGGCGGGTTGAGGGCTTTGGTTTTGTAGGGTCTTGGGATGGCTTAAGGGGCAACAGAGGGGGCTTAGGGGCTTTTGGGGGATTGAGTGTTCTAAGGCTTTTGCGGGGTTTTTTAAAGGGCTTAAGCTCTTCAGGATGCTAGGATTTGATATGTGGAACTTCACAATCACTATAACAAGGTAAAGGCACAGCTGGCTTTTCGGGTTCGGGATGGGCAATTCGGACTTAGCAGCTGGCGGTTTAGGACTTGGGGACTTTGGATTCTTTATGGCGTTGGAGGATCGCAAGCGAGAAAGGGGAGAACAATGGTGCTCTATGTGGTCTCTAGCTTTGTTCAGCCCACTCCCAGAATCCACTTGAGGGAGGGCCGGGGTATAGCCAAAGGCGTTTATTATTCAGGTAAAGCCTTCAACCCCCAACCCCGAGCCGCCACAAAATCACATCCCTGGCGCTTCTTGGCAATCTTCCGGATCGCTTCCAGATTGTAGTGGGCGTAGCTCCGCAAGTGTCTGACCTGAAACCCCAGACCCCGAAAGCCCCCCCAAGCCCATTATCCCCAAGACCGTAACCCTGAGCCCCAAACCCGAAAACCCTAAACCCCAAACCCAACCCTAGACACAGCAAAGCACTGAACCCTAACTCCCCCCAAGCCTCTGAAACCTTACGAAAGTGGGAAGCCCTTCAAGGGGACCCCTAAGGCTGTATTTCAAGGGGTTCTCTGAATATGTTCCTAACACTGCCCCGATGGTCCCTGTGGCCCTATGTTCCGTTAGAGGATCTTGGAAAAGGGTCCCTAAACCCTATAAGCCCTGAACCCTAGGCAACCTTAAGGATCCCAGTGGAAGCCCTGAACATCCCTGAACAAAAACTGTAAACCTTCAAGCCCGGAACCCCAAAACACAGCAAGAAGATTCGGGTCTAGGGTCTCGGGCTTAGGGTTTCGGAGGTTGGGATGTAGGGCTTGGGGTTTTACCCCTACGAAAAGTTCCAAAGGCTAAAGCGCGCGATGCGTGCATGGCCCCGGCGCTCCTGCTTCGGCAGTCACTGCCGCAGTTGCCCTAGCACAAGGCACCCGTGGCCCCGGTTCTGTGTCAGACTGGAGTGGGCCCTGTGTCACAGGGAACGTCACGAAGCCATCTTGTGCCTCCCAAGGTGGCAATGGAGTTGACGTGCTGCTGCACAGGCAGCTACAAGCACTGTCGCTGCGGCTGTTTGGGCGTCAGGTGGTTTGGGATTTACAGATTCAGGGTTTATGGTAAGGTTGAGGGTTACCCATCGGTACTCTTCACCTATTCAAGTGGCCACCAGTTCATCATGCGCTATCGTAGGGCATAGGGTGGTACAACCCCTAAGCACCCAGCAAGATCTCAGGTTCTGCTCCCCCCAAAAAAACCTAATCCCAAACCCTAAACCCTACACCCCAAACCCTAAACCCCAAACCCTAAACCCTGCAAAGCCGCAACATGGTGTAGCAACCCGCTAAAAGTGGGGGGTGGCACCTCGTGCTCCAGATCGCTCCGGGACTTTGACCTCTGGCGTCCGGCCGCGCTCCCCCCCCCAAGCGAACAACAACGTACTGATAACAGTGATAAGATAATGAAAATGATAATACGAAGAGAATAACAATAATAACAACAGCAGTGCTTTCGAGGGCTAGGGGTGTCTGGTTCAGGTTTAGGGTTTAGGGTTTGAGTTTCGGGTTTCAACGACTTACTCAGCGAAAAGCTAGTTCAGAAAAGCCATACCTTTCACCACGAAGCTTGACTCTGAACCTGTAACCCCAAAAGCCCCTTAACCTGTATTTCCCTCTTGAGGTATTCAATGTCCCCGTGGCGGAAGCAGGCCTTGAACCTAACCCCTGAACCCTGAACCCCCCACACGCCGGGATAAGCAGCCAGCTTGTGATTTAACCTTCAACCTTTGTTTACAACTGCATAGGTTTTCTTGGGTGGGGTGGGTGGCGGGGGCGGGGGGGGGGGGTGGGGGTCCTTTGAAAGGCTTTGGCTTGTGGCCACTTCGAAAAGAACGCCCTGCCCCGCCAGCACATGCTCGCTGTCAGACAGCACCGATGTGCTCTGCATTTGCGTAGTCTACTCTTTTATGTATTTTGTTCGTTGTTTACCCTTCTTGAGGAGCCCGGGAAATTGGGAGGGTGGGCATGCCATGACTAGCGCCGGGATTCGGGTTTCGGGTTTTGGGGGAGGGGTGGGAGGGTTTAGGCTCCCCACAACTCGTCCCGGACGAGCCTGGCGGTGGGAGTGGAAGGGGCCTGAGAGGCGCGGATCCTCGGCAGTGTGATTCCGGGGCTGGCTTAGGGTGTAGGGCTTGGGGTCTTAGGATTTAGAATGAGTTTTAAGCAAAGAGGGGCTTGCATCTATGCCAGAGTTTAGCTGGTTTTTTAGGAGAAACAATGCTCGGGCTAGTGCTCGAGCAACTGGTCGAGCCGCGACGTGTCTCAATCCATATGTTGCGCTTCGTGCCGCGAAGGTATGTTGACGAGTTCCTCCCCAAACAGCAGACTGCTGTTGAGCCATGACGCGTTGAAGGCTGGCAAGCCTGCCATACTGCTCACATCTTGAAAGGATTTTGTCTGCGACGCCGCGATGTTTCACACAGACTGTTCGTTTGGCTACATGGCACTGTTCACGCGGGCCTCAAACTAGAACCCGAAGCACTAAACCCTATACATACGTTCCTCTAAGGACGAGGGTTGCAATGAGGCCTCCGATACGATTCCTCGTGGGCAAGGGAACGTCCATTCCGAAGCTCCACAGAAGTGAGGGAGAGTAGGGTCTAGGTTTTAGGGTTGAGGGTTGAGGGGAGTTTAGGGTTAGAGGGCATCTTGAAGGCATTTTGCTGTTTTTAAAGGCAAGGCACTGCGCAGACAGCCGCTCTTCTGTGCGCTCGTAGAAGCGCAGGGCTTTAACCAAGTTTTCCCGGAGCATCCTTGGCGCTTAGGGTTTATCATATAGGGTGTAGGGTTAGGGCAGTTGGGAAGAGGGTTACGGGGCTCTACAGGGATTCTACTGGGCTGATAGGGCTTACGCGGTTCATAGTCATAGGGCCCTCGCCAAGAGATTTTGGGTTTAGGATTCGGGGTGCCGATTCCTTGTGGTGTGCTCAGAGACATGGTGCCCTAACCACCCGACCAAATGTCCTTTGGTCCTTGTCTTTGGGTAGATCGTGTCCGTTTGCCACGCCCATTTGTGCTACCAGCACATGCATTGCTCGCTGCATCTGTGCCCGAAGGATGGTAACGTCTATGTCATCAGCACATGCATCGCTCACTGCATCCATGCCAACATGCGAAAAGCACAGCTATTCCCCACACAAAAAGCCGTATTCTAATTATTCAGGCCCCTATATTATCGGCCCTACAGCGCCTTTCAGCATGTGACCACCAGTGAAGCTGGGCCAACGAACCCGATCCAGCCTTGCCTTTGCCACGAAACCGTGCCTCCAACCCCAGTACCTTCGAACCCCAAGAAGTAGAACCGCCTTAGCCCTAAACCCGAAAAGCCCTAAACCCGACAACATGGAACCCTACAACCCTATCAGCCCTAAACCCTAAACCCTAAACCCTAAACCCTGAACCCTAAACCCTAAACCCTAAACCCTAAACCCTAAACCCTAAACCCCAAAACCCCTCTCTCCGAGTTGATCCTGGTGCTCCCTGCGCCGAGGCGCGTAATGAAGTGAACGTTGGTGGCATCCTTCCCGCCCTGTGGCTTTAGGGTTTTGGGGTTTAGGGTTTAGGGTTTGGGGTTTGGGGTTTGGGGTTTGGGGTTTGGGGTTTGGGGTTTAGCTCAGGGTTGGAGATTTGGAACATGTGCATGTATCCAGGGTTTCGGCAGGGCTGGGAGCTGGGGTAGTTATGCAGGTGTATCCAGCACACCTAGTACTCGGGCGCAGGGAATTTAGGCAGATGTAGCTGTCCGAAGTGTGTAGGGCAAGCCCCAGAACTTCTACGATAGCTCCTTTAAGGAATCTGCATCGTAGGACTCTTCATTTTGTTGAAGTATTGATGAATCCTGAATCCTGCATCCGCAACCCTAACCCTGAACCTTAACCCTAAGCCCTAAATCCTTAACCCTGAACCCTAAAACAAAAAACCTAAACCCGAAAAGTGTGGCCGGCGACCAGGGGGTCTCTTAGGGTGAGGATCAAGGGTTGGGAGAGAAAAAGACCCATCAAAACGCCGTCGGGTTAGGGTTTAGGGTTTAGGGTTTAGGGTTTAGGGTTTAGGGTTTAGGGTTTAGGGTTTAGGGTTTAGGGTTTAGGGTTTAGGGTTTAGGGTTTAGGGTTTAGGGTTTAGGGTTTAGGGATTAGGGTTTAGGGTTAGGGCTTCGGGTTAAGGGTTAAGAGTTTTTAGGGTTTAGGAGTCTAGAGTTTAGGGCCACTTCCTGCAAGATACCCTTCGGTTACCCTTAAGGTCTTTCGGCCCTCGGATGAAGAAAGCTTACTGACAGGAACTATGGGCGGTACATTTGACGTTGAGGGTATTCGGGTTTAGGTTTGGGGGTTTGGGGTTTGGGGACGTTTGGGATTTCGGCCTTCGGGTTTGGGGGCCGGTGAACTGCTGAGTCGGGACTTTCGTTTTGCTTAGTGTCGGTGGGGCCGCCTCGACCCTAAACCCTAAACCCTAAACCCGCGACCCTGACATGCGAGGCGCATGGGCTGAAGAACTGTTGCTAGGTTTCAGGATCCTCTGGCTGCTAAGCGACGGTTTTCGTGCGTTTGGGGTTTTAGAGTTTTTGGGCTTTTTTGGGTGTTCGGGTGTGTTCAAGGTTTAGGGCTTCAGGGCTTTTGGGTTTTAGGGTTTTGGGGGAGTGGACGGGTGAGTCGCCAGGAAAACGGCGGAACCTACTGACATAATGTCAATGCCAATCTGCAACACGCCAAACCCCCAAAACTTCTCCGCGTAACATGGAAACCTCGCCCACCCACCAGCGTATAAAGCCCGTTCCACTCAGACGAATACGGCTTTGGATGTAGGATCAATACTTGTTCGGCGGGAAGGAGATGACACCAAACTCTGCACCCAAAGGCGACTGTCCGGAAGTGGCCTCCATGTCCTCGATGCAGGCCTTGAGCGACCTGACCACCGCAAGCTCTCAGGGCTTGGAGGCCTTTGGGGACTGGGCGGTTCTTTAAGGGTTCATCGGCAGCTGTAGTGGCTCAGTCAGTCGGTACGCTAAAGAAGTTCACAGCCAACCATAGCCACGGTATCCGTTTTAACAACCCACGAGCCTAGGATGCTGTCGAGTTCAGTCTAGCAGCATTGTGCTGCTTCTTTCGCTTGCAGGAATCTTCAGGGAGTCAGACGGTTCTTGATACAGCGAGAAGGAAGAGAGGGTCTGCGCTAGTAGGTTTAAAAAAAGAAATGCACTTTACTCAAAGCCGTGCTACAAAAAACTCGTGCTGTCGCTCACGAGGCTAACCAACGAAAACTGTCGAAAACATGTTCGCACTTCACAGCTCGAGGGCCGCTCTTTTTCGGTTTCAGGTGGGTTTGGGGCATAGTCCGCTCCCCCTAATCTCGCAACTCGAAACCCAAAGTGACCCCAACCAGGCCGATGCGGTCGATGCACAGCATTTCCCATGAAGGAACATACCCCAAAGTCGCGGAAGGATTCTCAACATTAAGGGCTGTTCCTCAACAGCGAGCTAAGAGACACCGTGAACCTGAAAACTTGAACCCTATGCAAAGACTGTTGCAGAAATAGGTGGTTTTGGAAGATCTGGGGACTGCAGCTATGGGGCAGAATGATTTACTAGGCTGCCAAGTAGCAAAAACGGAACCCTTGTTGGATAATGGACGGAGTTTGGGAGGGAACCGACCCCCCCCCCCCCCCCCCCCCCCCTAAGAAAGGCGAATAAGGGTTAAGGAACTTGAATTAAGTTGCCACACGAAGCTTGCTACATCATCTGCTATGCAACCCTGCTAGGGCAGCTTACTTTCAAGTTCCTTAACAAGCACGCAGCTGGGGGGGCATCCTTGGTGCCAGTTGTCCAGTGCCTAGGGCTACGTTTCAGGGTAGTCTTGGCTTACTCCACGTGCTTCTTGCGGAATCTTTCGGTCTCTGGGTTCAGGGTTTAGAATGAAGCATGCGTACCCACTCATCCCCCACGACACCTGCACGAATTGAGCGATACAGAGACACAGACAGACAGACAGACAGACAGAGAGAGAGAGAGAGAGGGGGGCCTGTAGTTGACGTAGTAGGCCCGCCAGCGCAGGCGCATGTTCTCCTCTTCCGCTCCCTGAACCCTAAGCCCTTCGGAAGCCAGACCCGCCCTGGGGCAGCATAGGCCCTATGAGGGTTAGAGCATGGGATCTCTTAGGCATACTACCCGCTTCCTTTTTGAAGTTAGGTGCATGAGGCTGTCGGAAGAAGAATAAGGGTACTACATGGTTCTATCACTTCTCTGGATTGTGCTTGTGTAAGGTGGCGAGGATTGTCGGCATCACCAAAACCGTTTCGATGAAGGAAACAGGCTGTTTCTTCTAATTAAACCGAAATCGTAAAGATGCCCTTGTATTGAGTCCTGTGTCAAGACCCTTCGTTGTGCTTCGAAATTCTTGCTTCACCAAGCAACAAATGGAGCGAACAGCACATTGCGAACGCCCCAAATCCCAGAAGATAAGACCCAAACCCATAACACCCTACAAACACCAAAACCCCGCACTTACTGCCTTAACTCAAAACCAGACAAAACCGTAAACCCCGAACCCCCTGCACCCTGCATCCCAGACCCTAAGACAAGTGCAAGCTTGGTGATCTACCCTCCAAACCACAAGGCTCCTCGAGAACTTCGGTAAACTTCATGGCACCGAGAGGCAAAACAAACGTAAAATCTCAACGCGAGGGCACGAAGTGCGCTAAGAGAGGCTCAAACGTATAAAGGTGCAGGGCTGGGGGATTTCTGCGGGTAGCTTTAGGGGCTGGGATTCTTGGGACGCATTTCTGAAGTGTGAAGGGTGGAAGGCTGATGGGGCCCTCGTGCCTCAAATCAATCGTGTAGGAGATTGGGATGGGGAGGTGTTCCAGGGTCAAGGTTTTAGGGCTGCTTGGGTTTTCTAAGCGTCGACGTCACACCTATGCATCAGCGCCGGGTGACGTCTGGAGCGGCGGCGGTCTCTCAAACAGCTTCGAGCTCTTCTGCAAAGTCTACAAGTCGTAAAAGGTCTGGGGGTTTAGGGTTTAGGTTTTAATCTCCACTCGCAGCACTTGCCAGAAAGCATTTACACATTGCACGAAAAACAAAGTATGACCGTCTTGCGGCTGAGGCACCCTCGGCTAGTGGAGAAAGACTCAGCTAGTCTTCATCGAGGTATGGTGATTTTTGACTCCTCTAAGACTCACCAAAGAAACCACAGGAAACACTCTATCTCACATCAGGCCTCAAAGCCCTCTAACGCCCTGGAAGCCCGCCCCAAACCTCCCAACCCCTAGAGCCCCCTGAAGCCCTAAAACCGAAAAGCCCTATAATGCCCTAAAGCCCTAGAACCCCAAACCCCTAAACCTTGAACCCCCTAACCCCAACACACTACAAGACCTACAAGCCCCCTAAAGCCCCCTAAACCTTTGGACCCTAAACCCTAAACCCTAAACCCTGAACCTTTGGACCCTAAACCCTAAACCCTAAACCCTAAACCCTAAACCCTAAACCCTAAACCCTTTAATCAAAGTCCAGATCGCGCCTCACCAACCCAGGCCTGCTCCTTGACCTCTCGGCTCTCGTGGCTTCTAAGGGTTTAGGGGTTTAGGGTTCAAAGTTTAAGGGGGTTAGGGTTTAGGGGTTTAGGGGCTTAGGGGTTTAGGGGTTTAGGGGTTTAGGGGTTTAGGGGTTTAGGGGTTTAGGGGTTTAGGGGTTTAGGGGTTTAGGGGTTTAAGGGCTTAGGGGTTTAGGGGTTTAAGGGGTTTAAGGGGTTTAAGGGGTTTAGGGGTTTAGGGGTTTAGGGGTTTAGGGGCTTAGGGGTTTAGGGGTAGGGGTTTAGGGGTTAGGGGTTTTAGGGTTTAGGGGTTTTTAGGGGTTTAGGGTTTAGGGGCTTAGAGGTTTAGGGGTTTAGGGGTTTAGGGGTTTAGGGGTTTAGGGGTTTAGGGGCTTAGGGGTTTAGGGGTTTAGGGGTTTAGGGGCTTAGAGGTTTAGGGGTTTAGGGAGAGACTTCGGGCTTTTGAAGGCCTTAGAGTGTTGCCGGGAGTAGAGGGCTTATACTTGAACCCCGAGCTTCTGAGGGGTCTACCGGATCGCCCGGGAACCGCCGGAACGAGCTCAGTTGGATTAAGGGTTTAGGGCCTAGGGTCTATAGGTCTAGGGTTTAGGGTTTCGGGTTTAGGAGCGTTGCTGCTCTTGCCAGGCTCACTGCACGACGCGGAGGGCCTCCGGGTGCGCGCGGAACATCAGCCCATGGAAGCCTCCCCTCCCAGGCGTAATGCTCATGAGAGAAGAAGTAGACGCGCAGCGCCACACGGTGTTCTCGCCGACTGCAGTTGCCCGGTAGCGACGGACTCCTCCCCTGTGGCCTGCAACCAGCTCCCTGAGGAAGGGTTCATAGCCCCTTCTCTTGCCACCATGCTCAATGTGAAGGCCCGGTTTCGCATGGACTCCTTCTCCATGAGCCGCATGGCCAGCTGCAGCTGACTCGGGCAGTGCCAGTGCCTCGCCCGGTTCGTCGTCTCAACCGTCAACCTTGAAGCCCCCAAAACATCCCAAAACTGCAAGTCCTCGAGAATCAGCGAGCCCCTGAAGCCCAGAGAGTTCCCCCTCTGACTTGAGGAAGACACCCAAGGTCATCCTTGGCTCAGGCGCGTTAGGAGCGAAGGTCCTCCAGACCCTGAACCCTAAATCCCTGAACCCCGGAAACGCTGACACCCTAAATCCCCCTAAACCCGCCCCCTCAACCCCCAAACGCTTCCTAAAGACCCTAAAGACCCTAAACCCCCCAAAACCCCCAAAACCCCCCAAACCCGAACCCGCTCCCCCAACGAATCCGAGGATGCGGGAGCCTCCAAGGCACCGAGTTTGGTGCCGATGCGGTCTGCCTGGCATGGTGCGCCCCATCCCTAAAAGACCCCCAAAACCCCGAAAAACCACAGAAATTCCCCTAATAAGCTCCAAAAACCCTAACACCCTGTTTCAAAAAGAACCTAGATACCTCAACCGTCAAGCCCCTAAAAACCTGAGCCTCAAAAAAAAACAGATTGCTCATAAATCCGCAACCTCAGCAGCCAAATTGAAGGTTTAGGGTTTAGTGTTTATGGTTCAGGGTTTATGGTTTAGGGTAAAGTGTAAACCTTAAGGGAACCTGAACATGACGAGCCCCCTGGAACCCTGGTCTGCATGAAGTCGCCTGGGCCTCCGTGTGGGCAACTGTAGGAGCTGATACCGTGGACTTCGCGACCCCTTTTAGCGTTCATCATCATACCACGGGTTTAGGGTTTAGGGTTTAGGGTTTAGGGTTTAGGGTTTAGGGTTTAGGGTTTAGGGTTTAGGGTTTAGGGTTTAGTCAACCGACAAGGGATGCACTTCGTTGGCTTTGGACAAGATTGCGCGTCTCCGCTGTCATGTAGGTTAACGTAAGCCCTAAAACCTAACACCCTAAGCCCGCATTTACGTCTGGGCCTAGCTTCCGGACTGGGGTTTGTTAAGGCTTCGGGTTTGTCAAGCATTCGGGCTAGGGGCGACAGATGCTGGATTCCTTCGGCTCCAAAGAACTTCCAAAACCCCTCAGTACTCTCAGCGGGAAAATGCTATAGCTGTACCCCTATCAAGGCGCATAACTTAGATCAACCTCAGGCTCTCAGAAGCTTGCAAGGTCAGCGTGGGATCCTTTAATCTAAGCTACGGAATACTCGTCAACCCAAAGCCCCTGCCCCTAAAGTTGTACCCTTGTGTTTGGGGACCCTTTTTAAAGAACCGCGAACGGAATACAGGGGTCATGTGGAGTACATGAAGGCGAAACCTGCAGGGGTACAACCTTCAGGTACCCCTACGTAAACCCTAAACCCTAAACCCTAAAACCCTAAACCCTAAACGCCTAAACCCTAAACCCTAAACGCGTCTTAATCCCTTGATGCAAGCACTAAGCACTGGCAGCTGTTTCCCTCTGCGCGTCGGATGCGCGCCGCATGCGTCGAAGCCCAGGGAGGGCCACAGGGGTTTCATTGGGCTTGGGGCTTGGGGCTTAGGGCTTAGGGCTTAGGGCTTAGGGCTTAGGGCTTAGGGTTTAGGGTCTAGGGTTTTGGGCTTAGGGTCTGCAGACGCCCGAGGTCTAAATCCTACTGTAAACCCTAAACCCTAAACCCTAAACCCTTAAACTAACCTGGGACACTACTGCAGCGCACGCTTCAGTCGCCCCCAATCAGCCCGCGGCTGGGCATCAGCGCATCAAAGCCCTGGCTTTTGGGTGTAGGGTTTAGGGTTTAGGGTTTAGGGTCTAGGATTTGGGGTTTCGGGGGGGTGGGGTTTCGGGTTTTGGGATTGTTGCGTCAGGACCTTGACACATTGTGGGGGGCTTAGCCGCTAGCCCTAGAACCCTAACACCCTAACACCCGAAAACCCTAAAACCCGAAAACCCTAAAATCCTAAAACCCTAAAACCCTAAAACCCTAAAACCCTAAAACCCTAAAATCCTGAAACCCTGAAACCCTAAAACCCTAAAACCCTAAACTTCCCCCCCCCCCCCCCCCCCCCCCCCCTCCCACCAAAGAGGGCCTGTGGCTTGCAGGCCGGCTGCTTCCAGTGCGGCTCGGCGAGCGCCCAGTCCACGACCTCAGAGCTGTCCGGGTTGAGGGGGGTTTAGGGTTTAGGGTTTAGGGTTTAGGGTTTAGGGTTTAGGGTTTAGGGTTTGGTTTAGGGGGGCCTTTCGGGGTTGCAGGAGTATAGGGGGTCAGACGGGTTTGGGGGTTTCGGGGGTTGTGGGGGATGTGAGGGTTGTGAGGGTTATAGGGCCTAGGGTTTTCACGTAGGGTGACCAGGATTCATGGCCCTATTCCGCGTGTCAGCGATGCAGTGACCCTGGCAGCACCTCCCCATGCGGTCAAAAATGCGGTGATAACCGGGGTGACAAACACCAAGACTCCCATGCGCGGGTCCCGTGCCGTAGCCGATGTGATGACGCGAAAGGACGGCCGAAGCAAGGGCAAACATTTTGGCAGCCTGGTGATCGTCATCCAAGGAGCCAAGAACAAATCCCAGATGCGACTGTACCTACTTGCTGTCTGAAGTTTCCGGGGGAAAGAAGTTAACCCTAGGGTTTCTATGGTGGGGGCGGTAAAGTCTTCTTGTGCTTCAAACAAGGCTCAAGTGCTGCCTTGCAGCTTATTTTTAATTCCTAAACCCTAAACCCCTAAACCCCTAAACCCCTAAACCCCTAAACCCCTAAACCGCCACACTTGTAAGCCCCAACCGTGCGCTTGTTCTCAGATGCCTCGGGTTTAGGGTTTAGGGTTTAAGCAACCCTTATCTTTCCTGTTTCTCCCCCGCCCACAGACGAACTTGCTTCTTCCTCTAAGAATAGGGACACCCAACAAAGCCCTACAAACCCTACAAAATCTCATGCACCCTACAAACCCTCCAGCCTATAAAAAAAGCCTGAAAAACCCTGTAAGCCCCGGTTTAGGGATTAGGGTTTAGGGTTTAGGGTTGAGGGTTGCCCTCTACCTAAGGACTGCTGGGGCCACGGGCCATCTTGCAGAGGAAGAGCGCGGGATAAAGCTCGCCTTTAAGCCTCACTGGGTTTCCGGCGAGCCAAAAAACCCCCATATCCCCAACCCCAAGGTCAATACCCCGAAGCCCTAGACTAGACCCCATTATCCCGCAAAGC